AAAAAAGAGGAGGAAAAAAAAGAGGTTGAAGAGGAAGAGAAGAAGGAGGAGGAGAAGGAGAAGCAGAAGACAGTAAGAAAGGAGTCAGGGCCTGTCCGTGATGAACTGTCGAACTGCCTGTTGAATGGGAGAAAGCTTGATGACTTTGTCAGGAGAGTCATGGGCTGCAGTCTGGTCACCATCTACCCGAAGCCTTGAATGGACAAACTCTACTACAATATTAGGTTGAAGATGCAGAGCCTAAATAGGAGAAGGAATAGGTCAGATTATTTCCTCGCCTGTCAAAAAACGGGGACTGTGACAGACCTAGCAATTAGTTTCCACACTTCCTGTGGAGGAGAAAGCAGAGCAGAGAGGGGTAGAAGGTGGGCCACCAAGAACCTGAGAGTCACAGCGGTAGCAAGATGACCCACAGCGCAGATCTAATTAAAAAGAGTCGTTCCAGTGCATGATCCATTTAAGCTGCAGTGGCACCCCAGGACCTCACTAACAACCCTGTCTCAAAATAAACACAGTAACAAAGGGCCAGGTATGCAGCTCAGTCACACACACACACACACACACACACACACACACACACACACACCTTAGCTTATTAAATGTGCTTCTCCCCTCCTAGCAACGCCTAATCAACCCTCAAAAGAATGTTATAAACCTGTGGTTCTGAAACTTCAGTGTGCACCAGAATTAGCTGCAGGGCTTGTTAAAGCCTCCTCCCAGAGACTCCAGCTTCCTAGGAACCAATGAAACCTGAGGCTGTGTTTGTAATAGGCTGCTAGTGGTGTCCAGGGAAGATTTGCTAGATTCCTGGCCAAGACCAAACTTCTCCTATTCGACCTCCTTACTCTGTACCGTGAATTCTGCTAAGTGACCTTATTCAGTGCTCTGAATACTACCTCCTATTGACCCATCGCCATCAGTGGGCTGGATTTGATGGGCTTTCTGACATCTAATAAATGTGCTGCAAGTTGACCTGATGCTGCACTGAACTGAGAGCTGGGCTGGCCAAATTCAAGTTCACTCTGCCTTCCAGGAGAGTACTAGTGAAGTCATGTGTTCACCTGCTTTTCACTGTGGGGACAAAACATCTGACACACCCAGGAAAGAAGGGTTATTCTGGCTTACAATTTCTCATGGTTCAGTCCGTGGTTGACGGTTCCCTTGTTGTGGGCTGATGGTGAGGGATAATATGGAGCTGTGTACTGCAAGGCATCTGGAAGCTAAGAGAGGAACAAACAGCCAGAGAGGAAGGGGCTGGGGACCACACAGCTTCCTCAGGTCGCAGCCCCTACTCTGCCCCCTTCCACAAGGCTCTACCTCCTGTTGCCATCCAATAATGCCATCAACTTCTGATCCATCAGTGGATCAATCTGCTGGACGAAGTTAGAGCCCCTGTGATCTAGTCACTTTCTGAAAGCCCACAAGAGACTTTCAGGAAACATTTCCAATCTAAATCACAACATACAGTAAAAACATTATAGAAGAATTTTAACCTCCTGCAATGCTGATGAGAATGTAAACAGTACAACCACTTTGGAAACTGGCAGTCCCTCAAATGGTTAAGCATTATACAGCCTAGCAATTACATGCCTAGGTAAACACTGAGACAGCACATGTTCAAACAAAAAGGACAGCCTGAGAATGTAACTATTTTAAATAACCCATCAACTAAAAAATGTATCAATAAAATATGACAGACATACAGCAGAATATTATTCATCCATCAAACAGTGAAGTCTGACCACATGGGATGACACAGAAAAGACCTGAAAAACATGATGTTTAAAAAAGAAAAAAAAAAAAAACCATGATGTTAAGTGAATGAAGCTGGACACAAAATGTCATATAGCACAGTTTCTACTTCATGAAGTTTTCTTTTTCTTTTTTGAGACAAAAAATTTAAATGGACATTTTAAATGGATGAATTTTTCTAGGCACTGTGGCATACACATCTGTAATCCCAGCACTTGGGAGGAAGAGGCAGGAGGATCACTGTGAGTTCAAAACCAACCTGGACTACACAGCAAAATCTGTCTCAAAACAAATCGGAACAGCCAGGGTAGTGGTACACACCTGTAATCCCAGCACTTGGGAGGCTGAGGCAGGAGGACTGCTGCGAGTTCAAGGCCAGCCTGGGCTACAAAATGAATTCAAGTCCAGCCTGAACTGCATAGTGAGACCCTGTCTAAACAAAACAAAACAAAACAAAACAAAAGCAAAAAAAGGTTTGGGGATGTGGCTCAGTGTGAAGACTGTGTTCAATATCCAATACTGATAGGTCTCAATAAATCCAGGACCTCCCAAAGTATAGCATGAGCACAAGAGGTGTTTCAATAGTAATTACGAAGCAGAAATACAACGTGGGAGGACTTACCTCCCATGAAAAGGTTGACTGTGGAGACTGTGCTTAGACCAAGTCTTGAGCAGAAGGTGAAGACATTGAGGGGCCCTCCACACAGAGATGATCTTGTATGCATGAAGGAAAGAAGGAAGGAAGGAAGGAAGGAAGGAAGGAAGGAAGGAAAGAAGGAAAGAAGGAAAGAAGGAAAGAAGGAAAAAGGAAACAGGAGAAGAAGGGAGGGAGAGAAGAAGGGAGGCAGGCAAGCTGAAGAAGGTGGTGGTGGTGATACTCAAAATTGGTCAAATGTTTTAAAATTATGTATTCTCTATAAAAACCATTCATTTGTTGTATGTAGTGACTCACTCTTGTAATTTAAGGAAGCTGAGGCAAGACAGTGAGTTTGAGGTGAGCCTGCATTACATAGTAAGTCTCCCTTTAGAGGCCAGGTGTGATAGTACATGCCTAGAATTCCGGCACTCAGGAGGGTGAGACAGGGGGATCTCTAGGAGACAGGAAGGCCAGCCTTCACTGCATAGTGAGTCAAGGCCAGCTTGAACTGCATATTCGAGGCCTTGCTTAGGAAAAAAAGGGGGAAAAAAGACTATTTAAAATTAAAAAAAAAAAAAAAGTTCAGTGCTTCCTGGGGTCAATTCCCAGTTCTACCAAAATAAGATAAAACAAAACACACACACACACAATTGCATTTTTTGACAACCTAGGTTGTTTCAACTTTTTTTTTTTTTTGATACCGGGGATCAAACTCAGGACCGCCTGCTTGCAAGGCAGGTGCTTATGCCGCTGAGCTAAATCGCCAGCCCCATCTCAACCTTTTTTAAAATAAGATATAATAGGAACATTTATTGAGAACACTCTGGAAAAATAGCTTTCCATGCACAACAATGTCTGGTTTGCTCATTTTAGGGGTGCTTATGGGGTAGTGGAGCATTTGTCAATTTGCTCAGACTAGTGAGTAGAGCTTGCAGTTTTCATGAGAATCTGCCCTACGCTTCTTTCTTCCTCGCCAGCTGCTCAAGCCACATGCACGATGTGAACTCCCCCACGTCTTTAAGCAGGCTCCCAGCAGAGCCACTGATCCAATGTGTTAGCAGGGACAAGGAGAGACCTGTATGCCCCTCCAGGCCACAGACACTGGGGTTCCAAGCCCCATGGAAACAGTGCCTCTGTTTGGCCAGAGTCAGTGAAAGAGGGGTGGAAGTCCTGAGCTAGACCACCCAGCCCTCTGAGACCTGCAGCAGTCCCAGATGCCCAGTTAATTTTTTTCTGCATGTACTTGGGTCTATTTCTGTACTTTGTCCCATTCCATTGGCCTGGCTTTTTGTGTACCAGTTTTAGCTAACATAGAGGCTCTACAGTACATTATATTTGATCGTGCTAGCTTTCTCTCCTAGTTCTTTTTCAAAGATGGTTTATTTCTTGACTTTTTTTCTTTTTCTCTTTTGAGATAGTACCCACTATGCAGTTTAGGCTGGTCTCAAGCTCACTTTGTAGCCCCGGCTGGTCTCAAATTCACAACAACCCTCCTGCCTCTGCCTCTTGAGTGCTGGAATTACAGGTGTATACTACCACATCTGGCTCTGATTGGTTTTATTTTTTCACGTAAATGTTAGAAACAAGCAGGGTGGATTCACACACACAGACACACACACCCTATTAATTCTACTAGTTCTGTTGTTGGAATTATGCTAAATTTCTATTTTTCTCATTATTATTCTCATTATTTCTCATTATGAGATTGAACCCAGACCTTCACACTGAACTATTCCCATTTTTAAAGTTTTGGTTATTTAGGAGACATGTCGCCCACACTACGTGTAAACTTGTGATCTTCCTCCTGTCTCAGCCTCCTAGAGGCTGGATTTCAGGTGGTGGCCACCATGGCAGACCTAAAATTCTAATTGTACTCAAGGACAACTGAGATCTTCATGCTAATAAATCTTTTTATCTAAGCGCAACATCTTTCTACTCCACTGCTTTCTTATCTATGAAATGTGGATAATGATACCTAGCTCACTGGCTGTTCTCAGAACCTAGAGAGGATATGCATGGGAAGCACGGTCTGCTGGGGACAACATGTTCTTTGCTCCTTACCTGTGTTCGGGCTCGGTTATTCAACGTGAACTTCGGTTCTCTTATGTGTACAACGGGGTTAACACTGTTTCATAAGACTCTAATGAAGTTAAATGAGATGAAGCACTCCCAAGGCCCGGCGCTGGGTCTGGAATCTAAGTGCTAAATAAATACCAGCTGTTTTCTAACATTAGGCTATCCCTGGGCAGGGACAGTGTGACTTAATGCATTCCATTCGCGTGGAGACATCCACCTGAGATGATCGAGCCCAGGGTCAACTCGTCTTTCCTAGGAGACGGCCATGGCGCCTTTTGTCTCTCTGGGAGCGTCCAGCCGCGCTACCAAGAGCCCCATTGCAGCAGCATCCAGGGACAGCATCTGCGCCCGCCGACCTGGCGCTGCCACGTCTCGCGCGGTCAGCGGGCTTCACGAGAGCGGAGGGGGGGTGGGGGGAGGTGGGGGAGGGACCTGGGACGCCGGGGCCCGCCCCCGAGCGACTTACGTCACTCTTTAGGCCCGCCCCCCGCGGCCCGAGTCCCTGGTAGGGCGGTACCTGGGCAGAGCGATGAGGCGCTAGGGGCGGGGCAAGCGCGCACCCGGAAGTCCAGGAGGGGCGGGTGTGACGTACGTCCGGCGAGTAGCTGGCGGTCCGGGGTGCTGCTGGTCTGTGAGCTTGAGGAGGGTCCAAGCCGCCCGCTGCCGCTGAAGGAGCCCTTCGGGCTGTGAGTCCGGGGACTGCTGCGGTGGCGCAGCCGTGTCCAGGGATCTGGGGCGGTCGGTGGAGAGGGTCGGGGCGGAGGCCGGCCTCGGCACGATGGGGGGGGAAGTGACACGCAGGCGGTTCCGTGGGGCCACGGGACTGGTTCTGGGCGGGGACGGGCCGACTTGGCCGGGTCTGATCCGTCTCCTGCCGGCCTCTGGGGTGTGGAGTTCACCTGCATTCCACCAGGGAGTCTTGCAGCTGCTGGGTCTAAGCTCTGGTTTGTGAAAGCCTTCATATTCCCTATCGGATGAGCTTCAGTCCTCAGTGAGGCCGGTGGGAGGGAGCCCGTGATGATCTTCTTGTTCTGTAGACTCGAGCACTGAGACCCTGTGAGGCCCCGAAGCTAGCAGGTGTGAGCGCTCGCACCAGGTCTAGGAGCTCCTTGACCAGGGCTTCTCCCCGCGTCATTGGATGCTCTGGGTCTAACCCCGTGTTTTCTTCTTCCCACTTTTTCCCTCTCTCTCGTGATGGAAAAATGTACGTTTGGCATAATTAAGTGCTTTCTTAACGATTCACGATACTAGCCAAGGGTCAGACATCAAATTGCCTCTGTGAGTATTCTCCCAGTCCATCTGCTTAGGTTGTGACTGGTTTAGGGAAATTTGCCGAGGGGCCGATCTTTGACATATATCCCTTTCCAACTGAGCAGAGTTTCTTAGCAAAAATCTAGCCACCTCCTACCCTAGATATGTCTGCGTTGGTGTCTTGAATCTTATCTGAGTGTATGTAAGAAGTAACATGTGAGCTGGGCATGCTGGCCCAAGCCTGTGATTCCTGCCTTCCAGAGGCTGAGGCAGGAGGATCAGGGAGTTCTAGATCAACCTGAACTGCAAAGGAAGACTCTGTCTTTAAAAAAAAGTAATGTGTAAATATTTTATTGGCTAATGGTCAGTTTGGTGCTTCTCCTTTCTATATGTTTCAATCAGTCCTAAAATATTCAGGTTTTCAATTTAGGTACAGCAGTGTTTTTGTTGCTCTTTAGGGCCCTTTAGAGTATTCTGACTTGCCGTATGGTGATGAAGTGGATCAAGAATAGAAAATAGTGTTGGGAGTGGAGATGCATACCGGTAATCCTAGCACTCAGTAGGCTGAGGTAGGAGAATTGCTACAAATTTGAGGTCAGGGACTGGGATATAGCTCAGTGGCACAGCGCCTGCCTGGCAAGTGCAAGGTCCCTGAGATTGATTCCCAGTACCAAAAACAAACAAATTCTGAGTCAGCCTGGGGTACAAAGTGAGTTCAAGGCAATCTGAACTACACAGTGAGACCTTATCTCAAAAGAAAAAAAAAGAATAGAATGTCAATTTTTTTTGGTCTTTTTTTGTTTTTTTATCAGTATCAGGGATCGAACTCACGACTGCCTGCTTGCAAGGCAGGCGCTTATGCCGCTGAGCTAAATCCCCAGCCCCAGAATGTCAATTATTAAAAGACCCAGAAGGTGTGAAGTATAAAACTCTTTAAATATTACTGTCTGTGTAATTGCAGCGCTAGTGAAATAACTCGTTTTTAAGCAGTTCTCTGGGTGGGATTTGAGTTTTATGTGATATTGTCAGGAAGGGTTTTGGCTTTGGTGTTAAGAGGATAGTTTAAGTTCTAAAAATGTCAACGATTTCAACTTAGCAGTCTTAAACAAGTCAGTTTGAGTGTCATCTTGTTAAATGAGGCTATTGCTTGATAAACTTGGTGAAGGTTGAAATGGGATGTGTGTAGATACTGTGTATAAGTTTCAAAACTACTGAGTTGCTGTAAATTCTGAGATCTCAAGGATGGAGGAACCATCACAGCTAATTATTTTTTCACTTTGGGTAGCAGTACAACACAATTCTTCAGCTTTAGTAAGTGTTTTGATTTTAATTTTTTTAGCATCATCTTAAGTTTCTTCACAGTTTATAGATCAGAAGAATTGGAGGGCTTTGAAACCAGGAATGCCAAGGAAAAATAAAAAAATGTCAAAGTAATTCTCTTCCTACATAAAAATACTCTTTTACCAACTGGACGCGATGGTGCATGCCTATAGACCCAGTCCTCTGAGGCAGGAGGATCACTGCAAGTTTAAGACCAGTGTGGGCTACATAGCAAGACTCTGTTTCAAAACAAAACAAAACAAAACAAAACATTAAAAGGAAAAAAAGAAAAACCACCGCAGAGTGAGTTTTTGCTCTTGTAGCTTTTGTAGGATTACTTGCTTGGGAATAATTCTAAAATGATGTAAAATTTAAAAGCATGGGGCTGGGGATTTAGCTCAGCGGCATAGGCGCCTTCCTTGCAAGTGTGCAGTCCTGAGTTCGATCCCTGGTACCGATAGAAACGAAAAAGACAAAAACAAAAAAATTTAAAAGCAAGTCTGTGTGGACCACAACCTATGAAGTATAAATGAATATCGAAGTGTTGGGCTGGAAAGCAGTGGGCAGAGTGGGAGTAACTTTCAGAGTTGCTCTCTGAAGCAAGCTGTGCTTCTCCAATAGACCGCGAAGAGTAGGGAAGGATGGCTGGTGTTCAGGAATTGTAGAAGAAAGGGTCATTGCTCTTTAATTTACCCGAGGTGAATAGGAACGTTTTTTGTTTTGTTTTGAGACAGTGTAGTTCAGGCTAGCCTTGAACTTATAGCAATCCTGCCTCAGCTTCCCAAGTGCTGGGACTACAGGGGTGTGTTACCACACCCAGCCGAGCCCTGGAGCTGAAAACCAACCTGGTGTGAGAGGCCATCTCTTACAAATATGTGTAGACCTATTAGTAACTTCAGTGATTTTATCATGGGCTATGGAAAACAAAAAAAGTCGTGGTAATTTCATTCAATACTAATTGACATATTTACTTGCTTAGGAACCTATTTATGAGTACTTTTTTTTGGTATTGGGCATTGAACTCTTGACCTTGCACTTGCCAGGCAGGCACGTAGCCACTGAGCTAAATCCTCAGCCCGTGAATGAGTATTTTAAGAAAATAACAATTTATGAAGTGAGGTTTGGCTCAGTTATTTCTAGTATGTAAGAATTCTCTCTTTATCTCTCCCTCCCAAACTGGGTTTGAACTTGTGATCCTCTTGCCTCAGCCTCCCAGAGTGCTGGGATTCTTCATGGTTCCTATTTTGAGGAGTGGGGTATGGAACTGGAGATCATAATCCAGGGAAGCTACCAATGAATTCTATCCCCAGCCTTTTGTTTTTAGTTTCAAGACAGTCTCACTAAGTTGTCCAGGTGGGACTTGAACTTGTGATCTTCCTTCCTACCTTCGAGATTAAAAGCACAAAGCACTGTGCCTGGCTTTATAGGTCTCTTTATAGCAGAAACATCTCTGCAAAGGGGTAGGCAAATAATTGCTTAAGAAGAAAGAACATTGATAAATGGAGCAGGGACAGTTGTGACAGCCAGTAGGATTTTGGGTGACTTGTAAACCTGTATACAAGGGTAGGTTAATACGCTTTCACTCTTATTTTTTCCATAGTACATCTGTGGTCTTTGGAGGCAGGGGCAGTGGTAGTTGGAACCAAAGTTAGGGCCTCTTACCTGTAGGGAAGTAGCAGGTACTCTATCACCGAATGGCATCCCTATTCCTTTTTTAAATCTTAGTTTTAGTGAAGTCTTAGTAAGTTCCCATGTTGACCTCAAATTTATGATTTTCCTGCCTCAGCTCTTAAGTACCCGCTAGGATTATAGGTGTATGTCACTGCATTTGGCTCTTCTGTAAGGCTATTTGATCCAGATTCTTGATAACACTGACTTTTTTAGAGGTGCTGCTAACTGGTAGACAGCAGTGCTGTGTTTAGGGAATGTCAGTGAGCAGCTGCATGGAATGAGTCACACAGTGAAAGAGAAAAGCATAACTTCTCATTCTGTGAGTGTCAATTGATAACTATTAGGAAACCATGAATTCATGTAGCAGGAGGATCCTAGAGGCTTCCTTTGAGGATTTGAAATCCTTGTCTCAAGGGAGGAAATTAGATTTCTCTTCTTTGTGTTCTTAGGCCAGAAAACATAACATTAGGCATACATCAGGGGGTGGAATAAGAGTTAATTTCTCCAGTATGTCCTGGCATTTGGAAAGCTAATATTTGCTACTTTTCTATTTTATACAGGTACTAAGCATTAACGATGTCTTTCATCTTTGAGTGGATCTACAATGGCTTCAGCAGTGTGCTCCAGTTCCTAGGTAAAGTCATTTTCCTGGGTTATGTTGTGGGTTTAAACCTGTGTGCCTTAAATCAGGTGTGGTGGCTGTGCCTACAATCCCAGCACTTGGGAGGATGAGGCAGGAGTTGAGGCAGGAGTTCAAGGCTGCAAGTTTGAGGCCATTCCAGGCTACAAAGTGAGACCCTGTTTCAAAAAAAAAAAAAAAAAAGAAATCACTAAAACTGTGTATTTCCTCCAGCAGTTTAAATGCAAGTGGTCCTTGGGTATATAAAGAGCCATTTACATTAAAACTTCTTTTCTCTTTTAGGGCTCTACAAGAAATCTGGTAAACTTGTATTCTTGGGTTTAGACAATGCAGGCAAAACTACTCTTCTTCATATGCTCAAAGATGACAGACTGGGCCAACATGTTCCAACTCTACATCCGAGTAAGTGTGAAAATACCAGGTGGCCTGTTGATTATGGAAGGTCAATATCAGGCTTGGAGGGTGAACCCCTATTAACATAGCTTCTTTATGGTCTGAGTCCCAGAAGCCAACTTGCCCAAGTTAGCATAGAAGATATACAGGCCACATACAGGCATATCTAACCCCTGAAGCTTTGTCACTTGTGTCCCCAGTGGTTCTGTCGTGGGCCACTTCTGTGTCTACATTTAAGAAGCAGAGAGAAAATACGCCCTGGAGAAAAACTAGCCTTTTAGAATAGGATGAGAATGTTTTCATGCCTGTCTCCTTTATAATTACCTTATAAAGCTTCATTCAATTTTGCTGTAGTACTGGCTTCAGTACTAGTAGTTGAGTATGCAGATGACAAAGTTACTTTTCCCCACCTTTGATGATCTTTCAGCATCAGAAGAGCTGACAATCGCTGGAATGACGTTTACCACTTTTGATCTTGGCGGACATGAGCAGGGTGAGTTGACTCAGTGGAAGTAGGGTTTTGACTTACGGTTCATTTCTCTCCCTCCCCTCAGCAGTGTTGTTCCCTTTTAAATGCATTTAAAGTTGAGATTTTACTACTTCAGAAAAGTTGTTTGGTGTATCTAGTATTTTTAAGTAATTTCAAACTTGTGCAGAATTGTATAAATAATACAAGAAATTTTATTCATTTGTATCTTGTCCAGATTTATTGTCCAGATCTTTTACATATATTGATAATATATTGGGGGAAACAAAATGGCTGTGATGTACTAAAATCTGTTCACAGCTGGGCGTGGTGGTGCATACCTATAATCCCAGCATTTGGAAGGCTGAGGCCAGAGGATCGTTGCAAGTCACCAGATTTATTGGTGTCTCTTATATCTATTAATAATATATTAATATTCTGGATAATTTTTAATTTTTATTTTTGGCTTTTCAAGACAATATCTCACTATGTATTCCAGATTGGTCTTGAACTCACCATGTAGCTCAGCATGTCCTCAAACTCCTGTTTGGAGTGGCAATCCTTCTGCCTCAACCTCTGAATAGATTTTTTGTCTTTTTGAGGCAGGGTCTCACTATGCAGTTCAGGCTGGCCTTGAGCTCACTTTGTAGCCCAGTCTGGTCTTGAACTTTCGACCATCCTCCTGCCTCAGCCTCCCAAGTGCTGGGATTACAGGAGTGGGCCACCACACCCAGCTTTGAATAAATTTTAGTACATCACAGCCATTTTTCCCCCCTATGCCTATTTCCTAAGAACAAGAATATTCCTTTTACAATCACAATAGTTAGGAAATCTGGGATTTTTAAAAAAAAAGTCTACATACTCATATCCTCTGTCATCTCTGTCACTTGTCTCAGTAATTTCCTTTATTGAAGTTGGTCCTGTAGAGCAGGCCAGTACAGTATCACGCTTGTGTTAGTTGTTGTCTCTTGATCAGTGGAATATAAGTATGTAGGAATTTAACTTACTGCTTAACTAATCAAAAGCTCCCCAAATAGCCTAATATGATGGCACATACTTATAATCCCAGCACTGCAGCCAGAGGATTGCAAGTTTGAGCCCAGGCTTGGGCAGTTTAGCAATTTATAGAGACCCTGTCTAAAAAATGAAAAAGGATAGGGATATAGCTATGTGCAGGTTGCCAAAGTAGGATAGTGACTATTTATGACCACTCTCTGAACAGATTTTTTTGTATGTTTCTGCCCACTTGGCACAATTGGAATGTTTTTTCTTTTCTTTCTTTTTCTCTTTTTTGAGACAGGGCTTATTATGCAGCTCAGGCTGGCCTTGAATTCACTTTGTAGCACAGGCTGGCCTCAACCTCACAACAGTCCTCCTGCCTCAGTCTCCCCAATGCTGGGATTACAAGCATGTGCTACCACGCTCAAACTTGGAACATTTTGTTCTTCTTTGGATTTTTTTTTTTTTTTTGGTACCAGGGTCTGAACTCATGACCTCCCGCTTGCCAGGCAAGTGCTTGTGCCACTGAGCTGTATCCCAACATCTACTGTTTAGTTCTTGTCTTTTTGGCTGGGTGAGGTGGTACATGCCCGTAATCCCAGCACTCTTTGGGAGGCTGACGCAAGAGGATCATTGTGAGTTCAAGGCCAGCATGGGCTACAAAGGGAGCTTAAGGCCAGTTTGAACTGTATAGTGAGACTTTTTTTTTTGCCTTACTTAGGTTGTCTTCTTGGTCCCAAATTCCCATCAGGAATCACTGTTTTTGGTTTTGAGGCAAGGTCTCACTGTGTAGGTCAGGCTGGGCTTGAACTCACTTTGTAACCCAGACTGTCTTTGAACTCATGGTGATCCTCCTGCCTCAGCCTCCCGATTGCTGGGATTACAGGTGTGTGCCACCATGCCCAGTTTGTGTGTATTTTAGAAATCTACAAAATGGGCATCTTTGTTTCCCTGCACTAGGGACTGAGCCAGGACTTCATATATAATCGGTAAATGCTGTACCTACATCCCAGTCCTCAGAGTAAGAACTTTATCAGACACTTTACATTTACCAAGACTCTAGGTAGAGAAGTAAAACATATGTAATATAGGAAATGGGAAAGTAAGAAAAAGAAATTGTTGAGATTCTGACAGATTTACTAAATTAATGAGTTGAGAAGCCTCTTAAAAGACTCATTAGATTCCAAAAAAGCATTTTATTAGGCTCAATCTAACATTGCATGCTTGCTTGCTTACTTTCTCTCTTTCTTTCGGTACTGGAAATTGAACTCAGGATCTTACGCTTGCCAGGCAGGCACTTGTGCCACTGAGCTATATTCCCAGCTAAAACAGCTTTTTAAAAGGTTTTAATTAAAAGAATAGAATATTGATAGTTTTCAGTCATTTAGCATAATTTTATAGTCAGGGATTCAGTGATTTCATTAGCGTGCTTGCATCCTGACATGTATAGTACGATTATAATCATGTAGAAGACGTACAGAAAAAAAATGTAGGGCCGGGGATTTAGCTCAGCAGCATAAGTGCCTGCCTGGCAAGTGAGATTGTGAGTTCGATCCTGGTACCAAAAAAAAGAAATGCAGACAAAAGGGTTTCTGGGGATCTTTCATTTGTTTGTTTGTTTGTTTGCTAGGCAAGACCTCTACCACCCAAGTACATCCCTACCCCCTGAAATTGTGGGGTTTTTGGCTTTTTGGTCTTTGGTTTTTTTGTTTTGGGTTTTTTTTTTTTTTTTTTTTTAATCGGTTCCAGGGACCGAACTTGCGACTGCGCACTTGCAAGTCAGGCACTTATGCCGCTGAGCTAAATCCCCAGCCCGTTTTGGGTTTTTTTGAGTCAGAGTTTCATGTAGGCCAGGCTGACCTCAAACACACATTCTTTTTCCTCCATCTCCCTAGGACTGGGTTTGGAGGTGTGTATCACCATGTTGCTCCGAGCTTGTGGTTCATTTTTCTTTCTTGTAGTACTAAGCGTTGAACCAGGGCCTTTGCATTGAAATATATACATGGACTACTTAAGATATGTTTTTTTTTTTTTTTTTGTCTTTTTGAGACAAGGTCTCTATGCAGTTCAGGCTGGCCTTGAGCTAACTTTGTAGTCTAGGCTGGTCTTGAATTTGCAGTGATCCTCCTGCCTCAGCCTCCCAAGTGCTAGGATTACAGGTGTGTTCCACCATGCCCCATTGATGCTTTTCTGTTTTGAGACAAGGTCTTACTAAATTGCCCAGGAAGGTACATACCTCAGTTGGAAGTTGTGTTTTGATGGAAGAATTGTGAATTACCTTGTTTTCTTTCTTTCCATAATGAACTTGTATTCTATTCATTGGGTAGGAATGGGTAAGGTGTCTTTTTTTCCTTTTTTCAAAATGTTTTTGTAATTGCTTACAAATTTGAATTCAGAGCAATATAAGACATGAACCAAGACCATCTGGAGAATATACGTACCATATGTCTTTAGATACTTGAACTGGGAATTGTAGATTATTTGGTGTGATCAATTTAGCTTTGAGGCAAACTACTCGAGACCCCTTTTGTCTCTCAGACAAAAGCTTTCTTTCTCTCAATAAATATATTCGGCTCTTAATTGAAAGAGTTTTGCCCTCAAAAAAATTTTTTTTAGGTTTCAGAATCTGTTAAAGAAAATTATTGATATATATAGTTTTTTTTTTTTTTTTTTTTATCGGTACCAGGGATCGAACTCATGACTACCTGCTTGCAAGGCAGGCGCTTATGCCGCTGAGCTAAATTCCCAGCCCCTGATGTATATAGTTTTGTTTGATGAAAAAAATTTACTTAGCGGAAATACCTCTTCCTAGTAATTTAGCCATCATTTTATAGATGTTAATACAGTAAAACACTGTACATTTGGAGATTTCCTTTTTATTTGCATAACTTTACATTTTTATCTTATAAAGACAGTCTAGCTGTCTAGCTATTAAACTCAGTATAGACATGGAAAGTTCCAGCATCTCCTTCCCAGGCCACTTTGAAAAGTGACCAGATAACTGAACTGTTGTTAGCCTTTGATACAGAGTTACTTTCTTATTCATCCCATTACAAGGACAAGAAATAACTAGTTTAGGAATTACAATGCGAATTACAATGCACGCGAGGTGGGTACAGGCCATGCCTATGATCCCTGCACTAAGGAGGCTGAGCAGGAAGATACCATGAGTTCTAGGCCACCCTGGGCTACATAGTGAGTTCAAGGACAATTTGAACTACAATGTCAAAAAAACCTGACAAGACAAGTGGGTGGCACATGGCTGTAGTCCTAGCACTCTGGGAGAGAGAGACAGGAGGATCACACATTTGAGGCTAGTATGGGCAACCAAGCAGCTTAGTGAGGCACTGTCTTGAAGTTTAAAAAATTAAGTAAGAAGACTGAGGGATGGATCCAGTGTGAAACTCCTGAGTGCGACCCTGAGTTTGCCAAATGCAGTTAAAGCGTTACTTCTGAGCTTTTATCACTTCTTTGGGGCGCCAGGGTTGAGACAGAGAATCGGGCTATCCAGTGAATTTCTAGTGATCTTTCTGGCTCAGCCTGCCTAGTGCTGGGATTACAGGCATCATACCCTGCTCTGTGATCACTTCTTGTAATAAAACAAACTAAATACTTAACGTTAATACAGGAGACTGAGTAACTGGCCTGGAGGCCTCAGTTACTGAAGTATTCTATTCATTGGGTGGGAATGGGCAACATGTCCCAGCCCAGTCCACCTAAGTGAGGAGCAGCGGAGTGAGCACCACCTGCACTCTCACTGGTTAGGAACTAATTTGGGACAAAGTTATTTATGGAGGAAAATCATTAGTATACTGATGGGATAACTCAGGTTGCAAACACTTGACTCCAAGGACAGGACCAATCATGTCAGTGAGTCAGATTGAGGGAGTGAAGACCAGGGAGTGGTGAAACTTTTGGCTGACTGAAGAACTTAGACTCATCCAGAGGGCCATCCCCTGCTGCTCAGCTCTAGCTGATGATTGGCACATAGATTGCCAGTGGCAGAAACTCTTAACTTAGCAATTTACAAAAATCACGTTCGGCTTATGCACCATTATTTGCATCCTCTCTTCTGACTTAATACTTTTAATAGAGAATTCATAGGGGCTTAGTGTTACTGAAACTGACCAAGATTTGCCCATTTTATAGACCATTCGGTTTTTCATTTTCAAAATACATATTTTTTTGTTGATACAAGTACAAATTTATGTTTTAGCTCGTCGAGTTTGGAAAAATTACCTCCCCGCAATTAATGGGATTGTCTTCCTGGTGGACTGTGCAGATCATTCTCGTCTCATGGAATCCAAAGTTGAGCTTAATGTATGTATATATTTTTTCCTTTCTTGAAGACAGCTCAGTAGTACCAATATTTAATCATTCCAGTTAATACACAGTGTGATAGCACACGACTGTAATCCCAGCACTTGGAAGGCAGAGGCAGGAGGATTGTCATGAGTTTGAGGCCAGGCTTGTAGCTATGTGGTGAGTTCACAGCCTGCCTGAACTACCTAGCATGACCATGTCTCACAAATCTTCCCTTCCCCAATATACATAGATATATATAAAAGACCTAGTATAGGAAGAAAATGTTTTTAAATGTAAGGCATTTTTCAGCATCCTGAGGAACCTCTGCTTGAACTCGAATAAATTAATTTTGGGGTTTTCATCCTAAGCTGACTTCATGCCTGAGTTTGTGTAGGACACTCCTCAGATTATCTCAGTGTAGTTGGTAGTGTTCCCTTCTGTGTACTTCATACAGTCTTTTTGTGGAGTATCTGCATGGTAAGACTTTAAATACTTGAGTTCTTTTTATATATATATATATATATATAAAAATTTTTTTTTTTTTTTTAAAAGACAAGGTTTTGCTAAATAGTTCAAACTGGTGATCTCTTGCCTCAGCTTCCTGGGTACTAGGATCATAGGTGTGCGTGATCACTCTTGGCTTTTTTAGTTCTTTATGTTTTTTAGTCTCTACTTTCCCAAGGAGAGTCACCCTCTCCTTGAATGATTTGCCAGACTTAAACCTGTTCTTAGGCTTCAGTTTTTGGTCCCATGCATCCTTTGATGTAAGTCAGAGGCTCCCTTTAGGTTTCCTGCTTTGGAAACATTGCACTGCTCTGGTTTGGCAGTTTCTAGGTACATTTCTCAAGTTCATAGCTGTGGTCTTTTGGAGCTGCCTAGAGAAGCAGCCCAGCCCTTACCTTCTTTTCCCCTTGACATGAGCTGCTCCTTTCCGCAGATTCCCCTTTACACTCCCAATTTGGGAGCTCTCTGTCTGTCTCACAGTCTCTTTCACACGTGCTTGTTCCTCTGCTCAGCCCTCAGGTGTGGGCTTCCTTGGGATCTGCATGTGCTCCCAGGCTATTCTCATCTCTACTCCTGTGTCAGTGACTCTAGATTGATTTCTCTAGACCAGACCTCCTGAATTCCCATCTCGTAAGTGATGTTACTGCTAGCCAATTCTAGTACCTGTGAGATAGGGGTGCTGAGGAAATCACTTCCCTCACCCATTTGAGCTTGGGCACCATCCTAGAGCCATTCTGTGTAACCCCAGGCCAGAGCACACGCTGCCTTTCTTTTGTCACTTGTTCTTGTGCCCAGAACCCGATTTACTGCATCTGCATGGTGTGCAATGTTCCTTTTCTGTTGTCCCAGCACTGTTTCTCTGTTCTGACCTTTATAAATGTAGCTGCTTTTCCCTCACTATCAAGCGTGTACTTTACAGTTTTATACTTGCTGTTCATAAGAGGTTGGAATCTGTTGGGTTCAGCACAGTGGAACTGTTCATCTGCCCCTGTCATCTTCCTGAACATGCAGTCCAGAAATCTATGAATTACTGTAGATTCTACCACCATTCTGCCATGCTCTGTAAAATGCAAAATTGTTCCGTTTATTTTCCCTTAATAGTTCTCTATATTTTCAGGATAAAAGCTGTAAATCTTTTGCATAGCATATATAATCTTTTCTGATTGTCTCCCTTGTTTTTTCTCTCTGGCATCCTTTCTTTCTGTTGCCTACCTTAAATTACATTCCACACAAAGAACAATTTGTCCTTCTTTGGGTATGCTCAAGTAGCCATTCCCTGTTTGGTTTCCTCACTAAGCCTGCCCCACCCCTTTTGTTTTTTAAAAATGTCCTTGAAGAAGTCTCAAGAGTTGTATTCTGACTTGTGGGATATCATCCCTGACTTCTCAGACTATGTTACATTAGGCCTCGCCCCACCCTACTGGTATCTGTTGTCTTTACTAATTTTCTTAGCCATCTTTCTCACTAGACTGTGAACCTGTGCGGTAGGGACTTTGTTTACAGGTTTGTGAAACCCTTGTACAACTGAACCCTTTAGTTACAGCCGACCTGACATATAACCCCTACTTGGGTTATAGCTAGAATATTAGTTTTAACTTACAACCAAACTCCTGAGTTATGACTCACATGCTGGCCGCTTGTGCTTCCAGATGTTCTCATACAGATTTAACCCTTAAAGAGTTTTAAAACAAACATTACATCACCCATTCCTGTATGGGGTTAAATGAGAAATCCTGGTCACTGGCTCTCTAAGGACATGGAGATTTGCCTGTATGCCAGAGAGACTCTGAAGGCTATGTAGAAGAACCTCAGCCTTTGGTTAACAGCCTGAGTTACAACTAGACTTTGGGAACAAGTTAAGTTTATAAGTCAAGAGTCTACTATAGCAAAGCATTGGACACAGAGTTGGCACTTCGTTGGCACTTAATGAATAATATCGTTGCACTGATTTTGTCTTAACATTTTCTAGAATTGAAGATGGTCAAATTGTGTTCTTGGTCCCTTCAATTTTGCTTTCTTGCCAGTGAGAATTAGATGCCCAGGCTTGAAATCTGGGCTGGTTTTGATTTCTTTGGTCTGTTTTATTTAGATGTTCATATTCATTTTACTTCTTTCTCTATAATGCCCTCTGCACTATTTATTAAATGCTGCTACATTGTAGACTGTCCCATCTTTTTTTGCTTGTTTGTTTTTTGTTTTCATCTTTTTGAGACAGGGTCTTGCTATGCAGTTCGGGCTGGCCTTGAGCTTTTTTGTAGCCTCAGCTGGTTTCAGACTTGCAACAATCATCCTGCCTCAGCCTTCTGATCACAAGCATGTGCCACCATAGCTGGCATCAGACCATCTCCTTTTACATGCGTACCATGAGTAGAAACTATTTGCAAGTTTATTGTTCTGGAAGTACAGATTTTATTCACTGACTTCAGGGTTTGTGGTTTGTAGGATCTATGTAGCTAACTTTTTCAGATTTGCACTGTCATGTGGGATATCCCTTTCCATCCCATTGTCACTTCCTTCAGTATCAGTGTTTTGATCAAGGCAGGCCATATGCCATGTGCTTTCCTGAACTCTTACCTTACCGTAAACCTGTTGTTTATGTTCTCTTTTTCACTTACCTCAGTCCTGTCTTTCCTTTAGAGCCAGGTTTTGGTTCTCTGTCTTTGCTAAGATTTTTCTTCAGCCCCAATTGTCATTTTATTTCCCTGAACTTGTTTTAGTATTAATATTCTGTCTCCCTTCATTGTGATCCTCAATCATCTACCACATTGTCTTATCACCCAGCTTTGTTTTCAGAAATAGGAACATGGAATGAGGAAGTGGTGTCTCTTACCCTTCTCCATTCCTCCAAGGTCCTGTGAGTACTTTGCCTTCACTGAGTATGCAGCAGGCACCCGGAGAGGTCCTGCCATTGTCTGCAAGGCTCTTCAGCCAGGACACTGTTCCCATAGTGCCCTGGGTGGCTGAGCAGCCTGGCTCAGAGTTGAGGTTGGGCAGTCCTGCTGCCTGTGCATAGGCATCCTTAAGTTACAATTTGCATCCTGAAGAGGCACTTTGAACATACTTACCTAATGTCAAGATGAACCTTGAATCGGGCACATAAATGGTCAGACTTCCACATTGCATGTGTTTTAGAGATCAGTAGAAGCCAAAATGGTCATTATCTGGTGGCTTAGTTAACTTCCATTTATCCTGTCTTCAGGGGTTAATGACTGATGAAACAATATCCAATGTGCCAATCCTTATCTTGGGAAATAAAATCGACAGAACAGATGCAATCAGTGAAGAAAAACTCCGTGAGATATTTGGACTTTATGGGCAGACTACAGGAAAGGTAAGAGAAATGGCTTCAAGAAGCTTAGAGAGGATATTCACCGTATTTAACACTGATGTTTGGCAGTCTAGATTTTCCTTTACTTTCAAAAGTTTGAAGAGGTAGGGCTGGGGATTTGGTTCAGTGGCATAAGTGCCTATCTGGCAAGCGCTAGTCATGATTTCGATCCCCCGTACCAAAAAAAAAAAAAAAAAAAAAAACTAATGTATAAAAAAAGTTTGAAGAAGCTTAGGATTTAGCTTAGGTGTAGGTATTTTATAAACTCGCTGAATGCAGTGACATGTATTTTCTGTATTTTTATTTGTAGTGCTGGGGATTGAACCCAGGGGCTTGTACATACTAGGCAAATACTCTACCACCAAGCTATATCCGTGATCCTTGTAATTTCAAGATACGGTCTTTTAGATCTTGAACTGAGGATCTGTCTGCCTCAGCTACCTAAGTAGGAAGGAATCTAGGTATGTGATCTTGTTCTTTCATGAATGAATGTTTTTTCCTAGCCGGACATGGTAGTGCGGGCCTGTAATTTCAGCTCTGAGCTGGCTGGGATAGGAGGATTGCTGTGAGTTTGAGGTAACCTGGGCTATATAATGAGAGTCTGACAAAATAAAATCTGAAAAAAAAGTTTTTTGTTTTTGTTTTTTTGATATCAGGGATCGAACTCATGACCTTACACTTGCCAGGCAGGCACTTATGCCACTGAGCTAAATCCCTAGCCCAATAGAACTCTTCTTTTTCTTTTCTTTTTTTTTGTTTTTTTTGTTTTGTTTTGTTTTGGTACTGGGGATTGAACTCATGACCTTGCGCTTGCCAGGCAGGCACTTATGCCACTGAGCTAAATCCCCAGGGTTTTTTTTTTTAGAATTTTTTGTCTTTTGGGCGGGTATGAAGTGAAGGTGGGGTGAGGGGAAGGAAGAAGAGGAACCTGGAAGATCACAGTGAGGATTCTGACCCAACCCCATTCACGATCAGATTTGAGCTGGGGTGACATGGGGCAGAGGGACAGAGGGTATGGAGTCAAGAGAACAAGGGGCAAGAGGAAGGAGATGCTGGTCAGAGGAGAGACTGACTGAGGACCTGAGACCAAGCAGAGCCCAGGAAGAGAGAAGCACCATGGATCTACAACAGGGAAAAAGCAGGTGGGGGGGTGAATTCATTAACTTACTCTACTGGTGCCAGCTCTTTGAGGTTCAGGAGTTGATGTTCTCAGGGAATAGGTCCAGGATGCTATCTTAAGTCTTTAGATATAAATAAGTAAAGAAAATATAGTGTAATGCAATAAAAATGAGATTATTATTTTTTTTTGGTACTGGGACTTGAACATACGACCTTGCACTTGCCAGGCATGCGCTGTGCCTCTCAGCCATATCCCCAGCCCTTATTACTCCATTTTAATTTTTTTGTTTGTTTGTTTGTTTTGGTTTAGTTTTTTGAGACAGGGTTTTACTATGCAGTTCAACCTGACCTAGAACTCACTGTGTAGCCCAGGCTGACCTCTAACTCTCTACAGTCCTCCTGCTTCAGCCTCCTGAGAGCTAGGACTTACAGGCATGTGCCATCGTTTTTTTCTTTTCTTTTCTTTTCTTTTTTTTGTCTTTTTCTTTTTTATCGGTACCAGGTATTGAACTCATGACTGCCTGCTTGCAAGGCAGGTGCTTATGCCGCTGAGCTAAATCCCCAGCCCCAGCCATCCCTTTTTTTCAAATGTGTTTTGAAAGCATAGTACTTAGCTGGAAATTAGGGTGTTTTGTTTTGTTTTATTTTTGTATTGGGGATTGAACTCACGACCTCATGCTTTCCAGGCAGGCGCTTATGCCACTGAGCTATATGCCCAGCCCTGAAATTGTGTGTTTTTTTTTTTTAAATAAGATTTCAAGTTACAAAAAAGAGTAATCATTTACTGATCACTAACCTTCCCTTGTTCCCCTTTCCACTTAAACGTGTTTTTCCTGCTTCCCGAAATCTGTCCTCCATTTTTCTCTTTACCTACCTTTTGGGTTTCTCATACACAAGAAATAATGCTATATTTAAACTTGTGTGTTTGATTTATTTCACTTAAAATTATGGTCTTGAGGTGCGTCCTTTTACCTAAAAATGGCTGAAGTTTATCCTTTATGGCAAAGCATTCAGGTTTATCCTTTTGGCAATGGAAACAAGGTATCCATTGTACCACACTACATTTTCTTTATCCATTCATTTATTGATGTGCATATGGGCTGTTTCCAAGATTTAGCTATTATAAATTGTGCTACCATAAACATGAGTGTTGGGGCTGGGATTTAGCTCAGCGGCTTAAGTACCTGCCTTGCAAGCAGGCGGTCGTGAGTTTGATCCCTGGTACCGATAAAAATGAAAAAGACAAAAAAAAAAAAAAACCAACATGAGTGTTGCTTTATTGCTATGGTATGACACTTTTAACTCTTTCAGGAAGATACCTAGAGGGGAATAGGTGGGTATCTCGGACCTATCAGGCCTCCAGCCCAAATGGGTGGACAACAAAAACTTAAAAGATATGATTTTAGGACTCCAGGAGGATCAAAACCCTCTAGCAGAATTTGAGATTCTCTGGGGGCTGAGACAAAGAAATTCTCTGGTGGCCTGTATTTATTTGGTTTTCAAACAAAGGAAGGGGATACTGAGGAGGACTTTGGCAATCAGTTCAAAGACTCACCAAAGTAGTAAATTATGCTAATTAGAACTATCTTACTTAAAAAAAGAACTATCTTATGTCCGGTTGACATTGGCAGAAGTGAGTTACAGTGTCTATTTAGTTAATTGGGGTTGGAGCTAGGTGTCCTCAGCTGTGGCCTTATCTTGCCCTTTGTGGCATCAGGGGCCACTACAGGTCTCAGCCTGGACCAGTGATTCATAGAGGCTCACTTACTGTGAATCAGCTACCCATCTCCAGACAGGCATCCTAGGCTGGAACAGACTCAAGTAAATTTAAACACTGCTCAGAGCTGCTTTGTAGTAGTCTCCATCATGTGGGTTAAATGGAACCTGTAGTTTTACTGTTTTAAGCAATCTCCATACTGATTTTCAGTGGTTGTACCAGTTTTCAATTCTGTCAGCAGTGGAGAATGGTTCCTTTTCCCCAACAACCTTACCAGCATTTGTTATTTTTTGATTTCTTGATGATAGCCATCTTTTCTGGATTGAGATAGAATGTTAATATTATTTTAATTTTCATTTCACAAATGACCAATGTTCATATATTTGCTTTTTGTATTTCTTCATCTGAGAAATGTCTATTCATTTCAGATGCCCATTGCGTCTTTAAATTTGGGGGATGTGATTTTGTTTGAGTTCTTTATACGGTCTAGGTATTAGTCTTTTGTGTGAGGAGTGGCTGGTAAAAATTTTTCCATTCCGTGGATTGTCTCTGCACTCCGTTGGGGATTTCAGTTGCTGTGCAGGCGGTCGTTTCCTGAAGCTCTCCTACTGCAGAGGTGCTAATGGCCTTCTTGGTTTGCCTCTGCAGGGCAACGTGACTCTGAAGGAGCTGAATGCCCGCCCCATGGAAGTGTTCATGTGCAGTGTGCTCAAGAGGCAAGGCTACGGCGAGGGCTTCCGCTGGCTTTCCCAGTACATTGACTGATGTTGGGACAGTGAAAATAAAAGAGTTTTACTCCTCTGGACTGATCCTATTCACAGCTTCCTCATGAACTTTTCTAATAGAACAAGGAAAGCTCTCCAACCATGTCTGGCGTTGAGAAGCCAAGAGTCTGTCAACTCTCATTGCCCAGTGGTGACATGTGCTCTTCTCCACACTGTCGGGAGGTAACACTGCCCACGTGCTGGTGCAGGTCAGTATCCCAGGACGCGGAAGCTGGCAGGATTTGCCAGGTAAAGCTGTGTGCCATCATGGGACACCTGAGAAGAAAAACACGTCTCACCACTGTGGTTGATTTCAAAAGAAAGTGATTCTATTTTTTAAAGAAAGCATTGTTAATATAATTGGTAACCCTCCCAACTTTTTGAGTTACAATTTACTTGGTCCAGAGTTTTCTATTTTTTTTTTTTAACTAGTTAATGGCATTTAGATATCTCATGAAATTATGAACAGATGCACATTGAAGGCCAGAGCTCAGAGAGTAAACTTACTCCTGCTGAGTTAGCAGGTCACTGAGAGAAGCTCCCCTGAGCTCCCTGTCTCTGTAACTGTCTTGTAGGAGGTGGCGTCAGCTTGGCATGGAGAGCTAGGGAGGGGACAGAGTCCTGGCCTCGTGGTTGTGGCAGGTATCACTGTGGTCAGCTGGAGTTGTTCCTTATCACGGAGTGAGTAAGCAAAATGTTCACTGTGGAGGAGTTAACTATAAAGGGGTTATTGTTATATTATTTTTGCTTATAAAGTTACAAATTTCAGCCCGTCCTTCCTTTTATATTGTGAAATTTCATTTTTTTTTTTTCACTAGCATCTTCTTTTTTCATTTTTAGTTAATAAAAAGTGACTGGTCTGGAGAGAGTTGGAGATATCTTCCATGTAGTTGTGTGCTACAAATGTGCCTTGGTTGCCATCATACAGGTCAGGGGGGCGGGCATTCTGAATAGGAGGGCACAGGACAGCGATCAACTCGTGAGGGTGTGAACATCTGGTGGTTTGGCACTTTTGTAAACTAGGAAAGACGCTGTTAATGAGCTTTCAAGTTCTACCTACAGAATTGATTTCTCTCTTGGGCTGTTCATGAACTCTCTCTTTCTTACATCTTTTCCTCCTTATTGGTTATCTGTTTTGTTGGTGTTTAAAGTAAAGGTCAACATCTGCTGCTTTTCCAGATTTTTTCTTTGTGGTATGAAAGAGTCCTTACTCCTTCCAGAAGGAAGCTGGGGAAAACATGAGTGCAAGAACTTTGTACGGAGCTCTTCTCTTGAGGTCGGGTCCCTGATGGCTGTGATCACCCAGTTTGAAAGCAGCAGCCCCAGGAGGACCACAAGCATTATTTTTCTAGCATTCCATTTTCATGGTGCCACTCTTGAGATTGGGTATTTATGGTCTTAACTGATACTCTACACTGGTAGGAGAGATGAAAGACTAGGAGCTGGCTTAAGATAAGTATCTTCATTGGTTTTCCCTTTAATAAAAAGTTAAAGGTAGGTTCCTCAAAATTGAAAATTGTGATGATGCTTCTTGCTAGAGGACTGAACTCAGTTCAGAGGCTTCCTGCTTCCAGGGGGAGGGCAGGGACTGTAGGCAACACATTTCTGGTTGGACCTCTTGTGTACTGACCTGGTGGGGAAGCGCTCTGCTCAGCGTCAAGTACACAATAGAGAGGCTCAGTGAGGTTCCAGCCTGGGAAGGGCATGCATTGCATTGATAGTGAGCACAGGTGGATTAGGATGTGATTGCTGATTTGGAAGGAATAAAGCCTTGAGTGAACAAATCTAGCTAACAGTGGATGAACCTAGGAGTTAACGAGCAGGGTTTTGTTTTGTTTTGTTTTTTGGCTAAAAGTTGCCCTCCTCTCTGTCCAAGGACATGAGAGATTGCTTCAGTGTTAGTTTTCGTTATTTTTTTCTGCTTGCCCCTAGTCACTTTGTAATGAGCTACGAAACTGTGGGCTCTAAGTAGTGCAGCTTTTTATGAAAGTGGTTTACATTGGCCACCGGAGAAAGGGGATTGAAAAGTCGCGTTGCACCAGTCTGTCTTTTCCCCACAGAACACCACTGGTACTGTAAGGAAGCTGGAAGAGGCTGGCGTGAGGAGCTTAGCTCCGGGCAGAGGCGCGCGGCCTCGGACAGGAACTCCCATGAATTGAGACTTCTCATTCTGTTTTATCAGAGTGCACATATGTCCTATTTCAGGAAAAGTAAAACAGTCATTTACAAATCAGTCTGTATCCTAAGCATTTTAATAAAAACTTAAAAAACAAACTTGCTACTTTTTTGCCATTGATTTGTTCTGTTTGAGCATATAGCACATTTTGTTTGGGTGAGGAAAAAACAGTGTTCTTCCTTGTGTGCTGGAATGAACATCTAAGGTGGGTGCAGGTGAGAGACTTCAATTTTGCTGGAAAAGTATGCTGGGCCACCAGCAGTAGTAAACTTAGTGCTGCTTGGTACAGCCTGCAGAGCCAGTGTTGTTGGTTGTCTCTGCAGCATGATGGGAATGCTAAACACTTGAGCAGTCTCTTATTAACATGTTGGAGAGCAGTCTGTTTAGCTGTGCTTCCTCCAGCAGTATTGGGGAGAACTGAATGCTGCACTTGATACAAATCAGAGGGGGTCTGTGCTGTGCATTTAATAGGCATGCACAAAGCCTTGCTTTGACTTATTTTTTCGCTATGTAGTTTGTGCTGTGCTGCATTGAACTTGCTGTAGCTCAGGCTGGCTTGAGAATGCAGATCTTGCTTCAGCCTCCTGAGTGCTGGGATTGTAGGTATGCTCCACTACACCCAGCTGATGCCTTGCTTTTAGAAAACCCCAAATGAGATTCCTGAACTAACGCACAAGTAGCCTGGAAAACACTGCAACAGCTTCTCTGCAACTAAAGATTGGCTGTCACTTGGGACTTCTTTCTACTATGGCCTGCGATTAGCACAGAAAAATTTGACACGTAACAGATCATGCTGGAGGCCTGAAAATCATTAAGAGAATCCTGTACTCTAGAGAGAAGGGAAGTCTTTTTTTTTTTTTTTTTTTTTCCCCTTGTTTTGAGAAGGGAAGTCTTAATCATTAGGAAGTTGGCATAGGGAAGAGACTGCTATGATCAAGCTATCTAGTGTGTCACAAAGCCAAAAGAAGACAGTGCCTCCTACAGGACAGCTCACTTTTGGTCTTGAAAATACTCTTTCTCAAACAGGTTTGTGTTACTGGGGGCCCTGGGAACATTTCCTGTGCTGTGTGGATAATATACCTAGCAGCACTCATTTTATTCATAGAATCTAAAATTTTGCAAAACTCTGTCATTTAACAAATATTTAAAAAAAATTTTTTTTCATTAATGCTGACAAATGTGTATTAGTAACCTTACTAAAGATGGACATGTATTTTAGTGACACAGAAGTGCAGACCTTCATAAAATGTATTGCTCGTGGTGACCAATTTGGGGATATCACGAAGTTCACCTGTTGGCCTGTCCTCAAGGATACTTTCCAAAAATATAACAAGTTCTATAACCTAAATTAGAGAAGGGATATTGTAATTTTTGGGGCAAAGCTGTACTGTTAGCTATGTTCTATCCTAGGAGTTTAAAATGGATTTTACATCTTTTTTTTGGTATCAGGGATCTAACTCATGACCTTGAACTTGCCAAGAAGGTACTTGTACCGCTGAGCAAAATCCTTGGCTTACACTTTTAAATGATTGGAAAAAAAAAAAAAGATGCTATTTTGCGGAACATGAAATTTAAGTGACATTAAAGTTTTTAAAATTTTCTTGAACATAGCTACCATTCTTTAGGCTTTTGTGTGCTACCACTGCAGAGATGAATATTTTGATTTGAACAATTTGCAGGGTTGATGGCCTGCAAAATCTTGAACTGTTTCCATTCTGGACCAAGAAAAAGGATTTGGCTTCTGACCTACATAAATCCTGAATGGTGATTATGTCATTATGTGAAATGGGCTCACTAAACTATAGGGTTGTAGGTTTCATTTTTTGTTTTGTTTTGTTTTTTTTTTACTTTAGCAACTTTGTCATAGTTTAAGAACAGTTAATTTAGAGCAAACCAACCCACTTTCCCTGAGATCTGTCGTGTTGGGGCTTTGACAATAAAAGATCTTGAGAGTAATTTTGCAAGTCCCATGCCCCCTAGTGGACTGCTGTGGGGTTTGCTTTCAAAGTTTCAAAATACCTGCTATTTCCTGGCGCGTATTACCCCGGAATCCTGAGGATAAATGTCCTACATCTGTGCCAGGGCAAACCACTTTGTCAAAGCATGGATACAACTAGCCACGTCAGCGCTCAGTGCTGTACCTACTCCCGGCAAAGAGAAGAGGCTGGGCTGACGGGACCCGCCCTGTTCTCCTCCCATCTCATCCTGTCTCCTCCTGACGCCGCACGCCTGTCACTCTCGCAGGGCTCATCCTAGGGGACAGCTGCTTCTAAAGTCCCAGAGGTTGAGCAAACCTTAGAGGGCGGGAACAGGGGGGAATCAGCGTTAGCCTGATTGGCTAATCAGGGTTCGGCGCCATGCCCAGCCAATCAGGTGAGAGCTAATGGGGTTTAGCCAATCGGGCTAGACAAGGAAGTCCCGAGTCAGTACTTGCACCTCTGGTATTTCAGCCGTGGGTTCCTCTGCGCCGGGTTGCCTACCCTTCGGGGGTCCTGGTTGCTTGCTGGTCTTCCCACAAGCCCCAGGTGTCCGGTCCCTGAGGTCATGAGGCGGCAGTGGGGGCCCACCATGAGGGTAGCCGAGCAGGCAGGCTGCGTGGTGAGCGCCTCTCGGGCCGAGCAGCCCGAGGCGGGCTTGTGGAGCTGCAGCGGGGTCATCCTGAGCCGCAACCCGGTCCTGGTGCTGTGCCACGGGGGGATCTTCACCCCATTCCTGCGCGGGGGCAGTGGGACTCTCACTGCGGCCGGCGCCACCTTCCTGCCCGGCGACAGTTGCGGCGACGACCTGCGCCTGCACGTGCAGTGGGGGCCAACGGCCGCGAGTCCCGCGGGCCGCTCGGAGCAGGGCCGTCCCGGGCTGTTCACGCCCAGCTGTGCCGACCTCGAGCCCTGCCCGGCTGCCCAGCCCCGCGGGCGACTCCTGCAGACCCCGCGCGCGGCTGAGCTGCTGCTGCTCCTGAGCTGCCCGGCCTTCAGGGCCCACTTCGCGCGCCTCTTCGGGAGCGAGGCTGCCGAGCAGTGGCGCTTCGCCAGCGCGGCGCCGGAGGAGGAGGTGTCGGGGGACGAGGAGGAGGACCAGCTGCGGGCGCTGGGCTGGTTCGCGCTGCTGCGCGTGCAGCCCTGCGGGGAGGCGGCGGCGAAGGCGGAGGCAGAGGCGGCTCATGGGCCAGCCATGACCGTGGCGCCCCTTGGGGCCGTGGCCAAGGGAACGCCGCTGCTGGCTTGCGGCTCCCCGTTCGGGGCCTTCTGCCCAGACATCTTCCTCAACACGCTGAGCCGCGGTGTGCTTAGCAATGCCGCAGGCCCGCTCCTGCTCACGGATGCGCGCTGCCTGCCCGGCACCGAGGGCGGCGGCGTATTCGCTGCGCGGCCTGCGGGGTCGCTGGTGGCGCTGGTGGCCGCGCCGCTGTGTTGGAAAGCTCGCGAGTGGGTAGGCCTCACGCTGCTCTGTGCCGCGGGTCCACTGCTCCGCGCCGCCCGCGCCGCGCTTGCCCACCTGCCAGACATCGCCGCCTTGGCCGCTCTGCTGCCAACCGAGGTGGGCTCCCCGCGGAGCCTGCCTCTTCGAGGACTCAGTCCCCCTTGGGCAGCCGCAGCCGTGCTGGTGGAGTTCGGCAGCGTGTGGGGTTCCGGAGTGGCCATGGCTCCCCGCCTTGTGGTGACCTGCCGGCATGTGGCCCCTCGAGAGGCAGCCAAGGTTTTGGTGCATTCCGCCAACCCAAAGTAAGGCCCCTGTGGATGCTTCACTCTGCTTCTCCCAGGGTCTCGGTTGCGGATCAGGCCTTCCAATTGTGAAGATTTGAGTGCACAGAGTGAACCCTCCCTCCTCTTTGACTCCCAGAACCAAGCTCCAAGCACCTCTGGAATTGGGAGCCTCGAAGCTCCCACCTGTAGGACGAGTCAGAGCTCTCTGTCATTCTGAGCTTCCGCTGGGCAGTTTCACTGCCTCCCAGCCCTGTACCTCACACCTACTAAGCCCTTTGACCAGAAACTCTCCAGCCTGCCCTCTTCAACCCTGAAAGGGCCGGGAAAGGACCTGGGGTCTGGGTGTTGCCCTGGGCTAATCTTAGTTTATCTCTTAGAGCTTAGCCTTAGTTTATCGCTTAGAGCTTAGCTGGGCCCCTTTCTGTGTGGAAATTACAGCCATAGGCTCTACTTAATTAGAGCACAGGGCAGATGTGCCTATTCCAAATTATGTTTGGGTGACCCTGGTAGGCAGCCAGCTGGGATTTTGGCCAGTCACTTGTTCCCTTTGCTCTCCTTTTATCCTATCTGTTCTTTTTTCTGAGGCTTCAGGAGCTTGATCAGGCCAAGCTAAGCAGAAGAGCATGTGGTATTAATGCCCAGCCTTTCCCTTCCCAAGTTCAGCTCAGCCTGCATCTAAAGCCTTTGGGAATTCCTCTTAGCCCAGCTTTGCCACAGCGCTCCCCACTGGTGACTGGCAGGTTAGCAATGATTTTATAGGGAATCCTGGAGGATTTCCCTGGGATGTGGGCCCGGGATCCTTACCCTCCCCACTATTTTTGTGCCCAAGAAAATCACAAGGTCTGCTAGAAGGTCCCCTTGCAGAGTGTCTAAACTGTCTCCTTATGAGTTCACATATAATGTCTTGGACCAGAGCCTAGCACTCGTGCTGTGGACATGCTAGCATGTTATGTGAGCAAGGGCATTGGGGCTTCCTTGGCTCCCACCACTTACTTGGGGTAGTTACTTAACCTCTCTGGACCTCAGTTGCACCATCTAAATTGGAGATAATACCAGTGACTAGTTACAGGCTTATGAAGATGAAATGAGATGATGTCCACAAGGTGTCCACTCTGGGCCTGGCCCACAGTGCTCACTAGATGTAGGTGTTTTCATGGTGCAGTAAAGAAAGCTCTCATGAAGTACTCTTCAGTTTAAAAAGCATCTTTGGTTGTGACTTACCAAAAGCTGCCTGGCTGGTAGGTCTCAGAGCTGACACCTAGATCGTTAGACGCAAGTTCATGACTTTTACTGTCACTTTCCTTCCTCCCTGATGCTGAAGGGGCAGAATGCTAGCCTGTCATTTATTTCCTTTACTTCCAGGAGTGTGGCGATTTGGGGACATGTGGTGTTTGCTACCCAGGAGGCATCTCCGTATGACATAGCAGTGGTGAGCCTGGAAGAAGACCTGGATGGTGTCCCTATACCTAAGCCTGTAGAGCACTTCCATGAAGGTAAGGACAAAGGGCACAGCCTGAATGAGGAACTCTCTGGCCTGGGCCAGACCCCGGGAAGGTCAGTGCTGGACACTTGCCATGCCAGCGCAGGTGCCTGCTCATGTCCCCACCCTAGCTGAGGTAGGGAGTTAGGGTGGCACAGCTGGAGCACTTGCTGGAGGCCTCCCTGCTGCAGCAGCACAGCCCAGGGGCTAGGGCAGGTGGGGTGCTGGGCCCTGTAGGGCTCCAGACATGTCAGGCTGCCCAGAGGAGCTTGTAGCACCTTGTAGGCATCATTTAATACAAGGCTTTATGATGCTGCCTGTTAGGTACTGATGACCTATTTCATGAATCAGCGTGATATGATGATGGGCACTGGGGCTCTGGATTGGCATCTCCTCTGCCAGCTGGTGGCCTAGGATGGACCACTTAGCTGTTCCCTGCCTTGGTTTCCATGTCTGTGAAAGGGGCTGTTATATCTTCCTCCTGGGCATGCTGAGGACCAGGATCGGTTGACCTGTATTGGTTGACCTGTATTGTGCCTAGCCCTGTGCCTGGCTCCATTCCTGCAGAATGGGCAAGATGACTGCTTGGTGACCCATCATCACTTTCTTTTCAGCAAGATTCTTCTTGGTCCCAGGAAAAGCTGATTTATTGAGCACCTAGCTAGGTTTAGGAATCCCCAGAACTGACCGCTTTGTCTAGTGATGCTGAACATATAGTTGAGTGGATGTGGTGCTGGGAACTCAGTAGAGTCCTGGCCTCTTCCTGTTGTGGGGCGCTGGGGAACTCCCTGGAGGTGTCAATATCTGAGCAGAACACAAAAGGCAAAGAAGGGTTGGGCTTTAAGAGGGGACACAGTTGGGTGGGGAGCAAGGTCTCACTTTAGCATCCTCTCTCCCCTGGCAGGTACAGCTGTCATTGTGGTGGGCTTTGGTGTCTTCGGCCAAGCCTGTGGGCCCTCGGTGACCTCGGGCATCCTGTCAGCTGTGGTGCAGGTGGACAACACGCCAGTGATGCTGCAGACCACATGTGCCGTGCATGGTGGCTCCAGTGGGGGACCCCTCTTCTCCACCCACTCGGGGGACCTCCTGGGTAACCAGCCCCTTGGCCCTCCCCAGCCTTCTCCCTATCAGGACCTTGTCCCACCCAGTGTCCAATGCAAGGAGAGCCCTCTGGCTGGGGAGATGGTGCGCCTCAGGCCCAGAGTTAGTGATTGGAGATTTCAGGCTGCTCTGCCTCAGTGGGTGGAGAGGGAAGAAGCTGAGCTCCAGGCTCTGATGTGTGAAATTCAAGAGTTGGAACAGTCCAAGGCTCACAAATTCTTCAGTGCACAGAGGTCAGGAGGTAAATGAGTGAAGACAGAAGAAGTGGAGGTAAAGGGTCAGGGATCAGCTAGAATGAAACTTGCTCAGCTGCTGCAAGTTGTGGCCATAGACGGATGTGACCTAGCACAGTTCAGGAGCAGCTAGAAACTTTTAATTTTTTTCAGTCTTATGCCCAGATTTGGTGGCAGATGCTCATAATTTTCAGCGTTTTGAGAGGCTGAGCAGGAGGATTGCAAGTTTGAGCCTGGCCTAGGCAGTTTAATAATGATTTAGCGAGACCTTGTCTCCAAATAAAAAAGAAAAGGCTGAGAATACAGCTTTGTGCAAAGGCCCTGAGTTCAGTCCTTAGTACTTGAAAACAGAAGAGGAAAACCATAAATCAAATCCAAAAAATCAAATTTTAAAAATTTGTAACTTGAGCCTGATGTGGAGAGAACATGCCTGTAATCCCAGTAGCAGGGAGGCTTACGAAAATCATCACAGGTTTGATGCCAGCCTGGGCTACAAAGGGAATTCATGGCCAGCCTGAACTACATAGTAAGATCCTGCCTCAACAACAGCAACAAAAATTATAACTCAAATGTTTTTGTTTCATGTTTTGTTTTTTGAGGCAGGGCTCACTGTGTAGGGTGGGCTGGCCTTCAACTTGCATATGTAACTCAGGATGACCTCACTCGTGATCCTCCTGTCTCAGCCTCCTAAGTGCTGGGATCACAGGTATGCATCCACACACCTGGCTAAGTTTTTTGTTTAACTGAGTCACTTGGAGTTTTTTCAAAATCAAAGTGTGAGTCCCTGTAAAAACTTCCAGAATTCTATATGTGGCATCACTTGATTCATACTAACCATGCATTTTGTTTCTTTTTCACTTGTAGCAAGAGACATAGCTTTTCCTGTTTACAATATATGTATTTGTCCAACCATATGTACCAACCATAGTATATATGTGTAGTATTCCTACTTTACAAAGAAAATAGTGTAAGAATTACCAGCCCACATCCCTGTGAGCTGTAAATGTAGGCAGTAGAGCACAGGGCTGGAGTGCACATGTGCATTGGTTCTTGTCTTTAGGTTTCGAGTGTCCAGGCAGAACTTCACTATCTGAGGAACTCAGGTTATGTTACTTATTTGTAATGCAGTTGGAATCACCTGTCACAATTTTTCCCTATATCTTTTTTTCCCCAATCCTGGCTGACTTTTTTTTTTTGTCTTTTTCATTTTTATCAGTACCAGGGATCGAACTTACGACTGCTTACCTGCAAGGCAGGCACTTATGCCACTGAGCTAAACCTCCAGCCCCTTGGCTGACTTTTAAAACCATGTCTATAGCCTGGTGAGCACAGAAGTGAACTCTGTTGTGTGCACATCAGTTAATAGTCACGCAGTCTCTGTCTTTAAGCTCTGTCTGCTGAAAGGGGCCAGGAGCAGTGATGCCTAGAACATACCTATAGCTTAGCTCTTGGGTTCTTTTTTTTTTTAAATAGTAACTGTTTGCTTTTTTTGTTGTTGTTGTTATTTTTAAGACAGTCTCACTATGCAGTTCGGGCCGGTCTTGAACTCACTTTGTAGCCAGGCTGGTCTCAAACTCACAGTAATCCTGCCTCAACTTCCTGAGTGCTAGGATTATAGGTGTGTGCCACCATGCCTGGCAAACTAGTACATTTTTGTAGTATATAATATTTACATTCCTTGTTTGAAGTTGGTGTATATACCAACCTTAATTTCTCTATTCCTCTTTTTTATTTTTTTCATACTGGGGATCAAACTCATGATCTGGTTCTTGCCAGGCAGGCACTGTGCCACTGAGCTAAGTCCCTGCCCTATTCCTCTTTTTTTATGCCCTTCCCTCCCTTTTTATCCCCTTTTTATCCCTTCCCTCCCTTTTTCCTCTATCTCTTGGTCTTCTTCCTATTTGAGAAAGGCCAGTCTTTCTATTATCTATCTTTTTTGTTTTGAAACACGGTCTCATTATGTAGTTCAGGCTGGTCTTATACTGTGTAGCCTAGGTTAGCTTTGAACTGTTAGGGAGCCTCCTGCCTCAGCCTCCTGAATGCTGGAATTACAGGCATGTGCCACTATACCTGCCTTATCTATCTGTTACTTTGTTCTTTATTTATATCTTGGATTTCTCATATAAGGGAAACCATGAGATATTTAAGCTTGTGTATCTCATTTATTTCACTCCATGGTCATCCATTTTCCTACAAATGATTCAGGTTTGTCTTTATGGCGGAGCAGTGCTCCACTGTATGTAAATACATTGTCCACTTATTTGCTGATGGACGTATAAAGCTGCTTCTAAGGTTTACTTATTATGAATTGTGTTGCTGTAAATATGGGTATGCATGTGTTCAGATCTTGGTTTCTAAATACCCTTCTGTGACAAAAGGAATCAAGAACTGATGGATTCCAGAGCCAGGACATGACATAGCCAAGATGAGCCAAACGTATCATGTCCAGAGAAGACGTGCTCCCAACACAAATGATGGGGACTTAAGTGTGGACAAGACCAGCAACCAGCCTCTAGGAGGCCCCACCAGAACATGCAGAAGAACGTAAACAAATAGCAACAATTTGCTATAAACGCTAATCCAAAGAAAAGGAGTATCCATGAGTCTGTCCTGATATAAATGATTGAATAAGTTTAGAAGTAGAGAAAAACTGTAGCTCTTTACAGAAATCTAATCAGTAAATGTGGAATGAGGGAAATAGGAAGTCACTATTGAGACACTGCAGTAAACAGTGGTGGTTCACACCTGTGAGTAAGCCCAGCACTCTGGGAGACAAGGCAAGCAGGATCACAAGTTTAAACCCACCTTGGGCGACTTAGACTCTGTCTCAAAAATAAAAATGGGGCTACTGGGGACCTGGCCAATCCTCCAAATGAGTATATGGCAAAGGGTTAAAATAAATGAGACAAGTGATATGATTTTAGGGCTCAAGGAGGATCAAAACCCTCTGCAGAGATTGAGAGTCTGGGGGCTAAGACAAGGAATGTCTCTAGGTGGCCCATATGTTTTTAGTTTTTCAAACAAGGAAGGGGTTAGAGTGGAAAACACAGGAAACTGAACGACCTTGGGAGTGGTTCAAGGACTTTGACAAGTAACAGATTATGTTTCATTTAGGAGAACTATTTTATGTTAATTTCAGAGAAGTATCTTAGGAGAAGATCTCCATGTTGTATTTCACTACAGGAGTGAAGTGCCTGCAGCTACAGTCTTTATTTAGTTAATTGCAGTTGGGGCCAGGTGTCCTCAGCTGTGACCTTATCTTGTCCTTTGTGGTGTCTTTGTTCTTGGGCTGGCCATGCCTCACTCCTGTACATGTGGTCAGTTTCCAGCTTCAATGGCTCCCAACTGGGGCTGAGAATGTAGCTCATTAAAAGCTCCCGAGTTTGCAGTAGCAGTTGTTACAAATAGGTTCTAAATGGGTGGATACTAAATTTAGTGTGCAAAATTTTAATAGAAACAGTATTTGTATAACCTCCGAATTTTCCCCCTAAAAGCCAGATATGGTGGCATATACTTATAATCCCAGTGCTCAAGAGGCTGAGACAAGAAGATTGCTAGGAGTTCAAGACCAGCCTGTTTCAAAAACAAACAAAATAAGAACCGTGTATAAGGGCTGGGAATGTGGTTCAGTGGTAGAGCACTTGCCCACCTTGCACAAGGTCCTAAATTCATGATACCTGGGCCAGTAAAAGGACAAATACTATGTATAGACATCAGATACTTCTGAATAGAGGGAAGGACTCATTGCTTCTGTGGAGTTCTTCTCAATACAGAATTTAGTCCAGTCATGAGAAAACATGAGATAACTCCACATTGAGGACCTTCCAACAAAAACAGCTGATCTCTGCTCTTCAAACTGTAAAGAGCACAAACAGAAAAGGCTGGGAACCAACTCAGGTCACAGGCGATTTAGGGAGCCATGACAATTAATGCACTATTGAGTCCTGGAAAAGAACAAAGACAATAGTCAGGAAAAACGAGTGAAAGCCGAAAGATTTCCACAGTATTAACGTTCCAAAGTTAATTTCTTGATTTTGATAAATATTTTATGATGTAAGATATCTGCATGGGGAAAGTCAACTGAGAGGAACACAGAAACTGTCCTTTTGAGGCAAAGCTTCTGCAGGGGTAACATTAAAGAATAGACAAGCCAGATGTGGAGGTGCGTTCCTTTAATCTCAGTACTTTGGGAGGATGAGGCAGGAGAATTATAATTCAAGACTGGCCTGGGCAACTGAGGCCCTGTCTTTAAAAAAGGGCTGGGGATGTATCTCGGTGTGAAGGCCCTGGGTTTAATCCCCAGTACTGCAAAAACAATAATAGCAGGCCAGACATGAGACACTGCAGGTCCTATTTCATTCATTGTGTAAGCGTTCCTGGGTCTACTCTGGCAAACGCCATTCTCAGTACCAGAAAAATTGGATGAAAGAAGTTGGTCAAATAGGGGAATCCAGAGCATATGAGATGCAGATGGTGTTAAGGAGAGTAAAGTTCAGAGGAGACGATTGAGGAGCAGGTGCCTGTGGCAGGAAGCTCAGTGTCCGTCACTAGGGGGAGTTTCAAAACCCCTGCAGGCCCCAGAGGTGCAGATTGGGAATGGTCTTCCCAGTGGCGTCCTTCTGTGCCCTGGCTCATGCCCGTCTGTGCTTTCTGATCCTCTGACAGGCATTGTCGCCAGCAATACCCGGGACAATAACACTGGGGCCACCTACCCACACCTGAACTTCAGCATTCCCATCACAGTGCTCCAGCCGGCCCTGCAGCAGTACCTTCAGACGGGCGACCTGAGTGGCCTCCGCGAGCTGGACCGTGCCGCCGAGCCCATCAGGGTGGTGTGGCGGCTGCAGCGGCCCCAGCCCACGGTCCCAAGGAGCAAGCTTTGAGGCCATGTCACTCTCTGGGAACGAGGAATCATAAGAAATGATGAGGTGGTAGCTGCCTTAGGATCCAGGCTCCGTTCCTGACCGGTCACGACCCAGCTGGACCGCCTCATCTCCACCCGTTGACCACGATCTGAGCTCTGAGCCTCGGGACAGACTTCTTTCTTGTCCCATGGGACCTCAGCCTTGCAACCCATTCTGGGGTGCTGCCTTGAGCCAGTGTTTCTCTCTGCCCTTGGTACTAGACTCAGCTATGTTCCTTTCCTTTTGGGGACCCTAGTCCAGAGGCACAAGAGCACTGGTCTTGGTAGGCAGATAATCCCCTGTTACCCCAATGGCCACTGGCTGGCTGCCTGTGTCACGTGGGCCGGCAGCCCTGGGGTTTGCTCAGGATACCTCAGTACAGGGTCCTGCTCTGCCACACCCTGGGACAGGCCAGTCTCAGAGCTGGGATGTCTGGCCTTTGCTCCGACACAGTGCCTTCATTTATCAGTCCTGGGCCTGGGTCTCAGGGATGGAAAGGGTAGAATTTGTGGTTGCGGCTTAGAAATAAACATCTACCGCACAACACCTACGCTCTGCTAGGTCAGATTTTTTTTTTCATGAGTTCGGCAGTGAAAGAAAATGCACTGTGTCTGGGATGCTTTCTGGTGTTTTTTTTTTCTCCTGGAATGCTCTCCTGTCATGCAGGCTCTGGGGGTTAGTCATGTGCAAGTCTGCGCCTGGCAGTGCTATTCCTGACATCTAGATGTTGAATGCCAGCTGTGGGCAGTGGCAGAGCACTCCGTGATACAGAGGGCCAGGTTAGTGTGAGAGAAATCCTATGTGGTAGCTGGGGGCTGGAGTCCAGGTCCAGGGGTGGTGTTATTCCAGCATGTGTGATACCAAGGTGCTCACTGGATGTTCTGGTGATTCTGGTATGTCCATCTGCTAGTGCAGTGAGCTGAGCAACTTTTCCCATGGAAGAATATGTCCATAGACCCAGAGAGGGTGACCGAGTATGGGTTCATCAAGGCGACTTGAGCTAAACTGTGACAAGGATCTTCAGGGTATACTAAGTAGGAGACTGAAAAGGGGAGGGTGTTCCATGCCAAGAGCAACAGGAATGGGACAAGGACGTATGGAACTATTTGCTTGTTCCAGGAGGGCTAAGCAGAGAGAAAATTGGAAAATGTCTAAGCAGGAAGGGTTGGTTTTGTGCGAGTGATGGAGACAGCCGGCGCCTTCCCTCTCGTGCCATTGGTCTGGGGCCCTTGAGACCTCGACTGTGTCCTCTGCACCTGGTTGGCAAGTGAAGGGAGAGAGACAAGAAGCTGAGTGTGGTAATCCTAGCACTCGGGGCAGGAGGATGGCAAGCTGGAGGCCAGCCTGGGCTGCATAGTGAGACCGTGTCTCTAAAAATAAAGACAGAAAGGATCCCTGTTTCATTCATTTATTTTTGTCTTCCTTGCCCCCTACTGCTTTTAAAATATAGTTTTACTTTGTAATGATTTCAAATTCTCAGACAAGCTCCAACAACCCCCATATACCCATACACCTAGATGTCAACAGGTGATGTTTTTGGTAACCAAAAGATCTAATTTGGGATCATGGGTACTGGCCACTACCCTGTTCTCCTTGACTGGGAACAGCTTCTCTATCTCCTTGGGTTTTGTGCCCTGGACTTTATGAGGACACCAGCCAATCTCCGTGAGCTGTCTCTTCATTGGGATTGGTCCAAACCTCCCCAGGATTGGATGCGAATCTCCGTATTTAGCAGGGTTCTCCCTCAAGCAGTGTCTTCTTCTGTGCCCTCTTGGGCGGCACATGATGTTTACTTGTCCCATCAAGATGATGTTAATGTGGATTACTTGAGTATGATTGTTCCCTTCTGGATCTCTCCACTGTAAATGTCCCATTTTTCCTGTGCAACTAAAAAAAAATTCCCGGGGCTGGGGATTTAGCTCAGCGGCATAAGCACCTGCCTTGCAAGCAGGCGGTTGTGAGTTCAATCCCTGGTACTGGTAAAAATGAAAAAGACAAAAAAAAAAAAAAAACACTTCTGCAGGGGTACTTTGAGATTATGCAAATATGCTATTTCTTACCCTTCTTTCACCTCTTAGGTTTAACATCCACTGATGTTTGTTGGTTGAATAACTGCTGCTTGGTCAGTGCTAATTATTCCCATCATTTCTGATAGCTTTATTTATTATCTTTGTTATTTTGCAGTACTGGGGAGTGAACGCAGGGCTTTCACACTAAGTTACAACCCCAGTCTTTTTTTTTTTGAGACAGGTCTTGCTGTGTAGGGTTAGCCTAACTTGAGCTCACTGTGTAGCCCAAGCTGGCTTTGAACTCTTGGCAATCCTCCAGCCTTGGTCTTCCAGGTGCCAGGATTATAGGTGTGCACCACCATACCTGATTTATATACTTTAAAAGGGTGAGTTTTTGGCATGTGAATTATATTTTAATTTTTAAGATCATTCATTTACCACACATGGGTGAATTCCTCAGGAACCTGGTATGGGGTCGGTGGTGACCCACAGTCTAGCAAAGTAAGATCTCTGCTCTGAAGAGCTGTCCTAAGGTATGTTTTCTTGGTGTCAAAATTAACACTTGCACGATTTTCCTTATGGGATTTTAAGACGAAAAGTGAAAGATGAAAGCTATTTGGAATTTCACAAAGCCTAGCCACATGCAGGTCTCACTGTGCCTGGAAGGTTTGGCCCATGGCTTCCTGGATAGATCCCTGCCAGGCAGAGTGAGGACAAGCCCACCAGGAGCTTTTGCTTCCACACATGGGCCTGGAGGTTTAGGGAACAGGGCAGAGACTCTCACTTCTCTGACTATAAATAATCCCCTCTTTACCCAGATGTCCTGGGCAGTTGCTGAACAAGGAAAGGAAGAGACAGGGATTACAGAGAACTGGATGCAGCCAGAGCTTGTGAGCTGATAACCAGGTGCTCCTGGGAGGATACAAACCTCACTGCCTGCAGCAGATGAATCTGGTCACCAGTGTCTCCTAGAGGGACTATCACAAAGCACCTTGTCTTAGGAGTATGGGTAAAAAGTTCTTTGAAGCTTTTAAAAAAAGGATTCCCTCTCTGAGAGTATCCATGGAAACTGGGAAGGCAAAGGGCAGTATTTATGAGTTGCTTGTAGGGGAGAAAGCAGCCAAGGAACAGAGTGGCCTTGGGCAAACTAATTTGCAAAATAAAATCTCTGTAGCCCTAGAAAGGCTGCTGTGTGCCTGGCATCGAGTCCTAACCCTTCAGAGAAGCGATCTTACGAATCCTTCCTGCAGCTCAAAGGGTGAGCGCTGATGTTTGCACAAAGGGCTGAGCTTCCACCTCCACCACCCTGTTACCCCTGTGTCCTTCCCTCCTCTCTCCCTCTCATCCCCTTCTGCTTTTCAAATCTTTTTTTTTTTAAAGAGGGAAAACGTGTCTTTCTGAGTCTTTATGTCACATAACGTGTTGATTGATTTCTAGTTCCATCCATTTTCTTGCATATTCAATGCTAGTATGCTAGTGAGAAACTCTCTGTTAGTATTAGTATGTACTGTATTAGTATGTGCTAATAAGAATAATAAAATTTAAAAGCACCAGGAATGTAGCTTGGTGGTAAAACTCTAGTACCACAAAAACAAAAAACAAAACAATGAAAACCTGACTGAGCCAAACAGAAATCCCTAAATGCATTCTGAACATCATAAAATACGCTTTAGTCTGTCTGCAAGAATTTCTTTATTGATTAGTCATCTTCTCCTTTTTTTTTCTTTTGGAGACAGAGTCTTGCTATGTAGTCCAAATTGGCCTAGAACTCACTATGAGACCAGTCTGTCCTCGAACTCCCAGCAATCTTCTTGCCTCACCCTTTGAACGATAGAATTACAGGTGTGTGCTTCCATTTACAGTCATCAAACAAATGAAAGTGCTGGCTTCCTTCCAGATCTTCATCTTGCCTCGGGCCTCTTCTCCCTCCTCACTGTGCTAGGGAGAGTTTGGCATCCTTCACTGCCTCCAGTCTTTACTGCAAGTAGTGCTTCCTCCAGGAAAGCAAAACTGTTTTGCTGTCTCCTCTCCCACCACACCTATCACAATGCCTGGCTTACAGTAGGGCACAGGAGCAGCTTTAAAGGTAGATGTTTCCCAGTAAAAAGAATTCAGATGTGTTGTTATGCATACGTACCACCTGCCCATGAGGAATGTAATCACTATGTACTATAGACATGAGCTAAAAAAAATAAAAATATAAGAGTAGGTGTTTCCCAGGACCAAGCCAAGCCTTGTGGTTCGAGAAGGGCTGAGCGTGGAGTCCTCGTTGACCAGAGAAACCTTTTGTTGCAAAGTTCACTGGGTCTCAGGTTCCCTGTCAAGGTCAGTGCCCTGGCTACCAGGCCTAGCCCCGGGAGGGCGTGGCTAGGAGGCGGGGCGTGGCCTCGGGGGTCGTGGGGTGTGGCCTCGGGGGCCGCGGGGCGTGGTCGAGGTGCTGGGCGCGGGTCCCCGCCCAGTCCACCCGGCGTCCGGAGGGCTGGCGCCGGAAGACGCCTGCGGCTCGGGGCTGAGACGGAGTGCACGGGCGGCGGGAGGCGGCAGAGGTGAGGTCGCGCCGCTGGGGGACGCGGGCCTTAGCGTCTCTGGCTGGACGGGACTCCAGCAGGAGCGCGCGGATCCCGGGACTGCGTGGGGAGGTCGGGACGGCAGCGGAGTCGTGGCTTTGGGAAGACCAGGCTGTTGCTTGCGATACGCGTTTGAGGCCTGAAGCTCCCCGCATCCCCCAGACACAACCGGGGGCGTTATTACCTGCCCGTGGCAGAGGGACTCCGCCCTCCGCGTCCTCCCTAAATCCCTGCGAAGTCTTTCCGAGAAAGATGGACTCGGGCCAGGAAGAGCCGGAGAGCTGGGGTCACGGGCCCTGTAGTCTCGATCCTGGAAGGGCAGCAGGTGTCTGAGGCTGGTGTCTGAGGGCAGGGGCAAAACCTCTGCCTCTAGGAGGAAAGTGACCACACCCGGGAGGGAGGGCCCATGGGACAAAGAGTGCGCTGAGCTCTGGTGGGACTCCTGAACCTGGCTGGAACTGCTTTCCTGGGTGCTATAGAGAGCCCTTTCCCTCCAGCACCCCCAGTTAACCTGGCTTCTCTGTTCAACCAGATCCTTTGTGACCCTAGGATTTAAGGTGAGACTGGGGAGCAGCTAAGTGTCTTGGGAGCTAAGGATCCTGCAGGAGGACAGACACGGGGCAGAGGATCTGACATAGTTTGAGAAGGGACTTCCAGGTTTCCAAACTTTGCATCGGTGTGCCGAGGACGGAATGCTCCTCTAGTTGGGATGCAAGGGGCTATTGCTAGACACCGACCCGCATGCCGCCCACTGGCCCTCCTGTACCTAGGGAAGAGTTCTCCCAGGGATGCCTCATTTGATCAATGAACCATGCACCTCCGTTTCACTGAGCAGGGTACTGAGGTCCAGCCAAGGCAGGGCCTTGCCCGGGATTACCCAGCCCTTAAGTGGTGGAGCTGGACAGCTGGGTGCACTCCATGGCCAGTTGGGTCTTTGGTGGAGGAATAAATGAAGCCAGAGGTCAGGTGCGCATGTTGGAAGATATAGGAATGTTATAGGGACCACAAAGTGACCAGATATGGGAGGGTGGACCTAGGTTTTGGGTACAGGGAGTGTATGTGGACCCCAAATGGGCCTGTCTGCTCCATTGTTGTCCTTTCCTGGGACATGAAAGAGAACTGTCTCTTGTTCAGACTTTGAATCTCTTTCTGAGATTGGCTTTCTTTAGATAGGGTACTCTTAGGGTGTGTTTGTTGAGGGCTGGCCACAGAGTTTCTACTCTCAGCCTGGCCCCTGGTGTCCAGGGAAGGAGGCTGCCTGACTTCTCCCTCCCCTAAGTGGAAGAGGGTACAGTCCCAGTCCATCACACTGTGCTCTAGTGGCCCTCTCCTCCAGGGTGATCACTCTGGAAACACCATTGTCCAAAGGGCCAGTGTTGAAATCTACCTTCTGCGTAAGCCATGACGACTCAAAAGCTGCTTATTGCAACCATGATCTTTCTGAAGCAGCATGAGGGTGATGTTCTTGCTTTAATCAGAACCCATGGGGCTCCTGCTGTGTCTTCTGAGGTTACCCTCTCAACAGCTTTGGCAAATGTGGATTTTCAGTGGATTCCTAAAGATCTCTTACTAAAGGCAAATTCCCCTGGGATTAGGCTGCATGCCTCACTGAGAAAACTCAAGTGTAAACTTCCTGAGCATGTTGCCAGTCAGTTGCGGGTTCTTACTTGGATAAAAATCATGAATTGGTAAAGTGTAGCTCTCCTCCGCTAGCAGTTCTGGGTGTGTGTGTGTGTGTGTGTGTGTGTGTAAAATATTAAGTTACCGAGGAGTTGCTAGATAATTAAAGTTTGTTTTATTCTCTTAAGCTATCATTCTTCAAGGTAGGCAGATTTAGGAAAGAGACTTAGATTTCTTTCCTGGACTTTGATGTTCACTTCAGAATCAGATGGTGGATCTGGCTGTTTCTCAGAAAGGGAAATCAGTGCATGTAGATTGCACACTTGTAATCTAGCACTCAGGACACTGAGGCAGGAGTATCGCTGTGAGTTTGAGGCCACCTGGGCTACAGAGTTAGTTCAAGACCAGCTCTCAAAAAACAAAGCAAAACAAAAAAACCAAACAAGCAAAAAAAGTGAAACCAAGAATTACCATAGGATTTGGCAGTTCCGAATCTCCAGGCTTCCAGAACTGCTTCAGAAAGTGGCAAAAACAATGGGATGAGTGTGTCTGAAGAAGGGCAGTGTTTTGAGTGGGATTAATGGCACTGGGTCTTTCACTATAATACTTTTTTTTGGAGACAGTGTCTTGCTATGTAATGCAGGCTGGCCTTGAACTCATAGCAATCCTCCTGCCTGTGCCTGCCTGGTACTGAGATTACAGGTGTGTGTCACCATAGCTGGTTTCATAATACATTTTTAGAAATTTTAACCAGGCATGATGGCACATGCTCCAACACTTTGGAAGCGGAGGCAGGCAGATCATTGAGTTCAAGGCCAGCCTGAGCTACATAGTGAGTTTAAGGTCAGCTTGAACTCTCAAGGAAAAAAAAACTCAAAACAAAACAAAAACAAACCAAACAAACTAAAAAAACACTTCCTAAAAACATTCACTATATTTTTGATCATCATTTATGCTTTGCTTAAAAAATTACATGGGGATAGGTCTATTCCATTTAAAAAACTTTATTATTTCTGTAACAGTGGTATATACCTATTTAAAAATGATTTAAACAAAATAGGAAAAGCTCAGGAAAGATTAAATAAACCCATCATCTTCAGTGATTGTTATTAGCATTTTGATTCAGAGCAGAGATGAATCTGATGAGTGCTAGAAAAAAGTTGCCAAACTTTTTTCCAAAATAGGGAGAAATCCCCATACCAACTAAATATGAGAGTGCAGCGGGTGCCTCCCTGTGTCACCGTTGCACAACTGTGTGTATGTTCTAAATTGCAGGAGTTTCAGTGTCTTCCTACATGTGTTTCTGTTACCCAGTTTTTCAAGTAAAAATGTCATTCACAAGAGCTGGGCATGGTGATGGATGCCTGTAATTCCAGTACTTGGGAAGCTGAGGCAGGACGATTGCTGCAAGTTCCAGGCCAGCCTCGACTACAAAATGAGTTCAAGCCAGCTTGAACTGCATGGTGATACCTTGTCTCATAAAGACCCCCCTCCCAAAAGTCATTTATCTTTTAAAAATAAATAGCAGGAAAAATAGAAGCAAATAAACAAACAAAAGTAACAATGAGTAATAACTCATCTGGGAGTCTTCCAATAATGGAGTTTTCCAGATCAATGGAGTCTCCTGAGGATGGCAGGGCTCGCACAGAATTGAACGTTCATTCCTTGTACATATACATTCTAAATGCTTGCCGGGTGTGTGGCTGGAAATGCACGCCTATGGCGTAAGCCCTTGGATTAAACATCTGACAGAGTAGGTCTTGGCCTGGCAGAGTTCAGTTGTCCTAGGGGCCAGGCACGAATTGATGTGGGCAGAGCCAGTGTGTCCAAGAGTATTGGGCAAGGGCTGCTGCAGAAGAGTGAAATGTGCTGGAGAGCTGCTGGCCACCGAATGTCCCCAAACCCGGGAGTTAGAGGTCAATAGAGGAGAGAAGTCAGACTGCTGGAGAGGCCTCAGGCAGCACAGGTATGACAGACTGGCCCTCCCCTGGCCCTTCCCTAGTGTCTCTATAGCTCTGATGTACCTTCAGGCCCTGCCTTGGTGTCTACTGGGAACTCAGGGAAGCAGTTTGTCCTTAGGGGTTGGGGTCTGCCTAGTTGGTGAGGCCAAGGTCTGCTTTGGAGGCAGCAGCTTGATGATGCTGGGGCCAGCTCACTGCCTGTGAGGCCTGTCTGCAGAATGCTGGCTTTCTCTTGCCAGAGAAGGAGCCCCCTGTGGGGCCTGGGGCAGGCGGGCTTGCTTGCCCACTTGGTGTTAAAGCCACCTTGGCATGACAGACCCTCTGTGATGTCTGTGCTGGCCTCTGTCCCTGCTAAGTGTGTGTCTTAGCCGCTCCTGCCTCCTCCCTTCTTCCCTAAGCTGTCTCCTCTGCTGGGAAGGCTCCTGCCCCCCAAATTTTATTCAGGGATCTCGGGTGTCCTCCTTGGGCCTCCTTGGTAGACTGGTATGATCTTCCTCCACTTCTCTGATAAGCTGTGACCCTCTCTTGGCACCTGTGCCCAGCTTGCTTGGAAGTAGGATTTTTTGGGTGTTTCACTGGCTTCCAGTCCAAAGGCAGGGCCTGACTCCATGCTGGAAAGGGCAGGTGACACACATGTCACCCCAGCCTGCCTCACGATGTCCCATGTTTCAAGGCCCTGCTCAGCTCTGGGTGTCCATTCCTGCCTCTGCCCTCCTGGGTCCTAATCCCCAGGAGATGAGCTCCTTCTGGCCCAGTTGGCAGCCTGATGAGTACTTAGAATCGGTTCTGAACAACCAGTCTAAGAACCTGAAGGTCACATTGTTTCCTGGGGGACTTGTTCTGATCCCAACCCTGAGAAGGACTCATTTTCTCCCATCTATAAAACAGGTGGATCAATCAATGCAGTGGGTGGGTAGTGGGTGCACCTGGCAACCTAATCCCTTCCAATCCCTTGTACTCAGCCTGCCTTCCCTCCTCTGTGCCATCCTCCTCCAGGGCAAAAGTCAGATGGTGGGCATTTGAACAGTGATAGAGCCTGGAGTTCTAAGCATAAGCCACCCCTCCAAGTAGTATAGAAAAATTTAGGAAACATCTCATGGGCAGCGTGTTTTGGAACCTTTTGTGCACAAGGTAAGTTCAGGGTGTCAGAGCTGGGTGGACCTTATACTCCTTTCCTTATAGGGTAAATCAAGGCCCAGAGAGGGAATGGGTCTTGCCCCAGCCATTCAGATGATCAGGACAGCCTGGAAGGTTCCAGTGTCACAGGGTTGCCCAAGAGGGTCCCAGGTGGGCTGACACATGCTCCCCTCTGAGGCAACCTGAGGTCAGCCTTCAAGGGGGACTTCAGAGTCCACTTCCTCCCTCCTTGACACCCTTGTGTGCCCTGTTGGCTGCCTGCTCCCTGAAGTCCACAGGGCCGTGGAGCCTGTGTGGCTGCACGGTGTGCTTTGTTTCTGTCCGTGCCATCTCCCCAGCAACCCCACCTATGGTTGGGCACAGGCCAGGAGGAGATGCTCCCAGCATCTGCCAGCATCTCAGCTGCCACTGGATTGAGTGGACTGAGTGGCTCTTCCCACACTGGCGAACCTGTTACCTGTCTGAAGGCCATGCAGTGTGTCCTCTGAGGTTAGCTGGGCTGGAAGGCAGATTCTCTGGCTGTTGGAGACCACAAATTCACAATGACTAATTTTGCATATTTCCGTAAGGGATGAAATGGAGGCCTTGAGATTATCAGTACTCCTGTCTGACATTCCCCCTTGACTCTTCTTAGCGTAAGACCATACGTGCCCTCTTGAGTTATCCCAGGATTATACTTGCCTATACATTCATAAACCTCAGTCTTCTGCCAAATTGGAATCTTTTCGCTAGCCCTGACTATCACTGTATACACCCAGTAAATAGTGGCTGTTAAGGGGTGTGAGGAGGAGGACCCATCGGGGACAATGACATTGCAGCCACTCATGTATTACTAAACTTTTTTTTTGGTCTTTTTCCTTTTTATCGATACCGGGGATCGAACTCACGACTGCCTGCTTGCAAGGCAGGCGCTTATGCCGCTGAGCTAAATCCCCAGCCCCTCATGTACTACCAAACTTGTCTCTGTTTTTTATTTTGTCACTGTACCCTTAACACAGCCAATTGGGGCTCTTTTCCTGGCCCCTGATACTTGGCTACCACGCTGGAGGAGGCAGGTGACACACGTGCCACCCCAGCCTGCCTCATGATGTCCCATGTTCCCAGGCCCTGCTCAGCTCTGGGTGTCCACTCCTGCCTCTGGCTGGGACCCTGCGCCCTCCTGTGTCTTCACCCCCAGGAGATAGGTGCCTTCTGGCCCAGTTGTCAGCCTTATGAGTACTTGGAATGAGCCCCAACGCAGGGCCTTGGCCACCGCAGGTTGGACTCTGGATGTGCAGGTGGCCCTGTCAACCAGCTTCCAGATGGAGTGAGAGAGCTGGGCAGTTTGGCTGCTTTTCCCTCCATGCTCAGAAGTTCACTGTCCAGTGGCCCAGCCCAGCCCTTTGCTCTGCTTCCAACCGCCTCAGCTTCCCGCTCTGGGCCAAGGGTGCCTGGGTTTTAGCTCCTTGAGACTCAGCCACGGTTTATTGTCAGTTTGCCAGGAACTAGTCAGGCTGCCAGTGAGTTAAAGGACCACTCCCTGTCCCCAGGCAGGCCCTTGCTGTCACCTCAAGTCTTACTGTGGAGCCTGCCTGATCTGGCTCCTCCCCTACCCTTTCTATTTCTTGTCTCTTTGAGACAAGGTCTTGCTATGCAGTTCAGATTGGCCATGGGCTTACTTTGTAGCCCAAGCTGCTCTCAAACTTGCAAACAGCTCTGTCTCAGCCTCCCAAGTGCTGAGATGACAAGAGTGTGTCACCATGCCCGGCTCCCTTTTTCTTTTTTGTCTTTTTGAGACATGGTTGCACTGTGCAATTCAGGTTGGCCTTGAAGTCACTTTGTAGCCCATGTTGGCCTTGAATCTGCAGCAGTCCTCCTGCCCCAGCCTCCAGAGTCTTGGATTTCAGGCATGTGCCACCATGCTTGGTTGGCTCCACACTTGGTTGTCTTATTGGCAGACAGTGTTCATGATTTTCCTGGCAGACCTTTCTTCATGTCCCCATCTCTTGGAACATGTTCCCTAGCTGTTCCAGGAACGGCCCTGTGCTGGCCAGTCCCTCTGCCTGCCCTGACAGCAGCAGGCTCCTCCCCATCCCACTGGCCTGGTCTCAGTTCACACAGCATCCGTGTTGGTCCATTTGTGGTGCTGTAACAGTGCCACAGACTGGGTGAATCTTTTTTCTTTCCTAGCACTGGGGATTGAATCCAGAGTCTGTGCTGAGCTATGTCCCCAGCCCACCTCTACTTTGTTTATTTTTTGAGACAGGATCTGATTAAGTTGCTAAATTGCCTAGGCTGAACTGAGACTTTCACTCCTCCTGCCTCAGCCTCCTGAGTGCTGGGATTACAGACAGGCATGTGCCTCAAGGGCTTTTATAATTGCCACTTATCCATCATTCACAGAGGGAAACCTTCATAACCCAACCACCTCCCATCAGGTCCCAACATGGTCACATTGGGAACTATATTTCCAGCCCTTGCCTTTTGGGGGCCCAAATTCAAGCCACAGCAACATCGTGTTGTGCAGGATGCTTGTCACACGCTGCTGATTGACTTCTTTAGGTCTGGAGCTCAACCTGGTGACCCCGTGAACATAGCAGAGGTCTGGTTGCAGTGTTCACCTAGCATGAGGCTTGAAGAGTCTTCTCCCCCTTGGCTGTGCCCTGTGCTGGCCAGTCCCTCTGCCTGCCCCATCACTTCTGGTTGTTTACCTGCTTAGCTTCCCGCATCTTGTGCATCACGTCCCTCCTCCTTTCCTCTGTAGATTCCATCTTTATGAGGGCAGGGCCCTACCTGTCTGCCCACCAGATCCACTGCAAGAACCTGTCGGAGAGTAGGAGCCAGCACTTACGTGTTGTTGAATGATCATTACTATCTTCCACATTCTTTGAGGAAATATAATGGAGAAAAAAATGTGTACAACATTTTTAAATTTTAATTTCTGTTTTGGAGCGGAAGGCATCCTGAGTATGGAAGCCGGGACCTTTGTACTCAGTTGGATCCCAGGTGGTTTGCATTTTTTATTTTGAGATAAATTCTCACTCGGTTACCCAAGCTGGCCTCGGATTTGCAGTCTTCCTCCTCAGCCTTCCCAGTAGCTAGGATCACAGGTATGCAGCACTGCAGCTGACTGAAGAGTTGGTTAGACTTGCGCAGACATAGCCTGATGACCATGGCTGTGTAGGATGTTTCCGGAAGAGTTCACGCAGTCCTGTAGCACTGGATGCCTCTGGAAAAGGGAGTCGGGGCAAGGCGTGGGGTAGACATAGGATAACCCTTCTGAATTTAATTCAAATGTCACAAAATTAAGATTTTACTAAGTGAAAGATTTTTGCTCTTTTAAAAAGGTCAGTTGATGGCCTAGGAGGTGAGGCCTCTCTACCAAGGACACCCCATCCTCCCTGCCGCTGACTTCAGTGTGGTCTCTTTTCCCAGCGCAGCAGCGCCTGATACAAGATGGGGTCCCAGGTCTCCGTGGACACAGGAGCTCTGCATGTGGTGATCGTGGGCGGGGGCTTCGGTGGCATCGCGGCTGCCAGCCAGCTGCAGGCACTAAATGTGCCCTTCACGCTGGTGGACATGAAGGACTCCTTCCACCACAACGTAGCATCGCTCCGGGCCTCTGTGGAGAGTGGTAATGTATTCCTTTCCTGGGCTGCCTTTGTGATGTGGTCTTTGTTTACTGTGGGATGTGATGTCCTCCACTTGGGTGGATTCTAAGCTGGGCATGTATAATCCTAGCACCCTGGGAGGCTGAGGCAGGAGGATTGTAATTCAAACCTAGTGTGGGTAATTTAGTGGCTTAGTGAGAGCCTGTCTCAAAATAAATTATAAGAAACGGGTTATGGCTGGGAATTAGGGTGGCTTACTCTCTAGTAAAACACACATACATACACACACATTTGGAGAATCTCACAGTGTCTGATCTTAAGCAGTTACCACAATGAGGCCCTGAAATGAGAGCTTGGACTTTTTCCAGGACCCAGGCAAGCTGGACCCTTTAGGGACAGTGGGTGTCTCAGCACACATGCTGGCCCAGCTCTGGTGGGGTGCCCTGTTGGGAGACAGCTCAGGAAAGGTTTAGCTCAAATCTACACTGTATCCTCTTCCTTTTCATTCCCCAGGGTTTGCCAAAAAGACTTTCATTTCCTATTCTGTGACCTTCAAGGACAACTTCCGGCAGGGCCAGGTGGTTGGGATAGATCTGAAGAATCAGACGGTGCTGCTGCAGGGTGGTGAGGTGAGCCTGGAAGCGTCCAACTCATCAGAGTCCTTCAGTGGTCCAGAGACCACTGTGACACCCAGGCCTGCATGGTGCTGGACAGAGAGGGGCTGTATCATAGACAAAGGCTTAATCACAGCAGCCACACAATACAGTGGCAATTGTTTCGTGAGTCTTTCCTTTATGCCAGGCACTGTCCTAAGCCTTTGCGTAAATCTCACTGGGTAGGTAGTAAGAGCCTTGTTTTACCGGGAGGTTAGAGGCTTGCCTAAGTCCCCTAACTGTAAGAGATGAAGCTGGGATTTGAATCCTGGCAGTGCTAGCTGAGAGCCCATGTCCTGAAAGCCAGCGTCCCAAGTGAGGCCCAGGCAGGAAGCCACACCCCTAGCTTGGGAGATTGGTGAGCAGAGGTCTCTTCACTCATCTTTATGTCCTTGCCCAGTGTGTAGCATGCCCTGCAAGGACTGGAGCCCCATCCACACATGGCCCCAGCCCACATATCTCACGGGCTGCTCAGTCACCTGCTCAGTTAAAATTCAAGGTGATCAAGAATGGAAACAAAGCCTGACATGGTGGTGCATGCCTGTAATACCGGCACTTAGGAGGCTGAGGCAGGCAGATTTCTGTGAGTTGGAGACCAGCCTGACAGGAAGACCCTGTCTCAAAAAAAAAAAAAAAAAAAAAAAAGAATGGAGACAAGTTCTGCCCTTAGGGAGCAAGTGCTTTTGTGTGAATTAATTTGTTATTGTTGAATTAATTTCAGGGCCAGAGAATCTCCTTTTTGGAAAGATTACTGCATGCCTCCTGGCTCTGTCACTTTGGGCCATGCTTCTCAGAGCCTCAGGGCCAGCAGGGCATCATTGGGATCTGTAGGGAAAGAGGGTCCTGAGCCATCCAGACTCATTGGTCTCCTGCCCATTTTGTAGCTTTTAGGTTCCAAACAAGACTTCCACTGGCCCTCTTTCTGCCTCCCATCCTCCTCCACAGCCCCCTTTTCTAGGGGGTGGGGAGGAGGTGTCTTCTGAGATACCCAGGAGATTCTGGACTCCTTCCACTCCAGAGTCGCACATCCTGCTCGTTTTCCACTTCATTCCCCACAGCAGCTCTGTGTGTGTGTGTGTGTGTGTGTGTGTGTGTGTGTGTGTGTGACATCAGGGATCAAACTTGCAACCTCACGCTTGCCAGGCAGGCCCAAGTGGGAATAAAATTGGGGATCTAGTACTGTCCTGCCTCCCAACAGGACTGGGGTCCTGGCACCCTGTGGTGCCCAGGGGTGGCCTCCACCCAGGCCTCCTGGGCCCCAGCTCGGTCTTACCCTCACCTCTCTTTCCCTGGTCCCCCACAGGCCCTGCCCTTCTCACATCTCATCCTGGCCACAGGGAGCACCGGGCCCTTCCCCGGCAAATTTAATAAGGTTTGCTGCCAGCAGGCCGCCATCCAGGCCTATGAGGACATGGTGACACAGGTGAGCTGCCACTGACCGACGTAGGGCAGGGACAGCTGTGGTGACTGTGGGCTGTGCAGGGAGCCCACAGTGAGGGCTTCAGAGTGGTGGAGGCAGCTGGGAAGTTGGAGGTTGCTGGAAAGAGATTTCCTGGGAGGAGCCTGGAGCCCGCCCTGAGGCCTGGACCCGTGCTCCGGCTCCTCAGCCCCGCTTGGTTGTCCACACTCGTTCTTCCTGAGGTCTTGTCGTGTTCACACAGGGCTGTGGGTTTAGTAGAGCAGATTCAGCTCCCCATCTCAGTTTTCACAACAGCCCTGCAGCGTGGGCAGGAGAGACCCCAGTATGGAAAGAGCGCTCCCTGCTTCTTTGGTCAAGGAGTCCACAGGGGCAGACCGCCTGGCAGTGAGAGGCCTAGAGGTGTTTGACAAACTTTTTGTCCCTAGGTGCAGCGCTCAGAGTTCGTTGTGGTGGTGGGAGGAGGCTCTGCCGGAGTGGAGATGGCAGCCGAGATCAAAACAGACTACCCACAGAAAGGGGTGAGGCAGCCCCCTAGGCTTCCAGCTCTGGCTGGCTTTCCCTTATGAGCATTACAGATTTGCCCAGGGTGGGGGATGGATGCTCTACTCACTTTGTGTGTGTGTGTGTGTGTGTGTGTGTGTGTGTGTGTGTGTGTGTGTGTGTTTTCCATCTTGTGCTGAAGCAGGATTCTGCAGGAAATTTTCCTTGAGAGCCAGGACCCTGACAGAGCCACTGTGACTGTGTCCCCAACCAGGAGGGATCCTGCCATCCCAGTGCAACAGAGAACATGAAGCCCAGGGAGAGTCCTTACAAAGAGGACTTGTGTCTCTTAAGAAGTCAGGCTTCTGTGATAAAACCTAGAGTTTGTTTTTTTTTTGTTTTTTGTTTTTGTCTTTTTCGTTTTTATCGGTACCAGGGATCGAACTCACGACTGCCTGCTTGCAAGGCAGGCGCTTATGCCACTGAGCTAAATCCCCAGCCCAAAAACCTAGAGTTTGATGATCTCTTCTTGCTGGCAACCAGCGTGGCTAAGCACACCCTTAGTTGCTTCTTGGTCCCTTGTCCTGGACTGCACAAGGTGGACCAGGCCTGTGGCAGTGGGCAAGCAGCCCCTCGCCTGCCCACTTTGGGAAAGACTGCTTACACAGGAGGTGGCATCAGCCTCACTGTACCCTTCTGATGCTTGCTGAGGGCTGACCACCAAGGTCACCCTTTTAAGCCAGTTCCTACCTGCAGGCCACCGTGGGTCCTGCAGGTAGGAGCTGGCTTACTGAGGGTGCAGGCTGCCTTCTGAGAGCGGTTGGAGCCTGTGCATTGCTGTTTTTTTCCCAGGGAAAAGCAGGTTGGTTTTAAAAGGGAAAATTAATCATGACTAATTGAATTATCTGACTGTTCTCTGGCAAATCATTGGAAATTATGAGTGACACAATTGCAGGGTCTTCATTTTGATTCATAAGAGTTGCATAGGGGAAACCTACTTAGGGGGCTGGGGATTTAGCTCAGCAGCATAAGCGCCTGTCTTGCAAGTGCGTGGTCATGAGTTCGATCCCTGGTACCGATAAAAAAAAAAAAAAAAGAAAGAAAACCTAATTATTCTTTGTGCTCATACTTAACACTTCTGAATTCAGAAATGTGGGGTTTGTTCCCATAGCAACCAATTCTGTGGCACCAACTCACGTCCTACGAGTCAGCTCAACTCTGATGCTAACTGGAGTCAGCACAGGCCCCTGGGCCAAGGGTTTAGTCTATACGACTGTCCCCACTTCAGGTACCAGTGGCTCATAGTAGGACCCAGCTACCTGCACTTCTTTCTGACCTATCACTAATTTGGAAGCTCTTATGATTCCCTCCTTGAGTTTCATAGTTTGTTAGAGGGGCTTGTAGAACCCAGGAAACCCATTTATTTATTACAAATGACATAAATGAAGCTCCTTGCACAGGAGCTTCTGCCCCTTGGAGTTGGGATGCACCCCTTCCTGCCACATGGACACGTAAACCAACATGGAGGCAGTGGGAACCTGTAAGGAGTTTTGGGAGGCTTCATCTCGTAGGTGGATTGTGGACTTAGTCTCCAGCCCTTCTTCCCTTTCCTGGAGGTTGGAATTGGGGATAGGACTGAAGCTTCCAAATTCCCACCCCGGGGGCCAAGCCTCATCCAGGAGCCTCATTAGGACCAAAGATGCTCCTATCCCTGAAGGAATTCCAAGGACTCAGGAACTGTGTGTCACATGCTCCTGTCATTCAGGAAATTACAAAGGTATTAGATGCTTTGGATCAGGAACCAAATATTAGAACAAAAGATTTAGCCAGCACCCCTGTCTACAAATGTTTGAGGAGCTTTGTGTCAGGAACCAGGGGGATATATATATATATATATATATATATATATATATATATATATTTATAGTTCTTGTGTATCACAGAGGCAAAGACCAGTCTGAACCAGTAAACAAGTTCAGATAAAAAAAAAAATGCTTTTTTTTTTTTTTTTCCGGTACCGGGGATTGAACTCATGACCTTGTGCTTGCCAGGCAGGCACTTATACCGCAGAGCTAAATCTCCAGCCCCAGATAAAAAAGTATAATATCTGTAGTAGAATGCTTATAGTTAATAGGAAAATTAGAATAGTATAACTGCTACTCTTTATTGAGGAATTGATATATCCTAAGTTAACTCTTTCATACATATTCATTCACCACAGGATTCTAGAGTGGGACTCTTGTGCCCATTTTAGTCTTTGGGGGATGTGTGCGTTTCAGATAGAGGATGTCAACCCAGGTAGTCTGATTCAAAGCCAGGCTTTGACCTGGTCACGGGGTACGCCTCCCGCCTTGTGCTGACCCTGGCAGCAAGCAGACCTGGAGGTGCTGCTTTTAGAACCAGCTGTAATGTTGATGTGAGGCTGGGGTAAGTGAGAATGCCTATAGCTTATCTATAGATTAGCTAATTACAAGCACCCAAGGGTGCTTGCAAAGAACTGCCAAGTTGGCCCTGCCTGAGGCATGGTTGTGGCTGGTGGGGCCATGGGTCCTGAAAGAGTTGTAGATGTGGGTTGAGCCTGGCTTCTCACTAATTGGTTCTAGCACTGAGCAGATTACTTCTCTGTGGCTCAGTTTCCCCTGAAGCAAACTGGAGGTGGGGGAGGAGTGGATGTTCTCATAAGCCGGATACTCAGGGGTTGTCCTGGGGTTGTTTTGTCCGTAGGTCACCCTTATTCATTCCCAAGTACCCCTGGCTGACAAGGAGCTCCTGCCCTCTGTGCGTCAGGAAGTGAAGGAGATCCTCCTCCGGAAGGGCGTGCACCTGCTGCTGGGTATGTGCGACCTCACCCCCTCCCTCTTTGCCACTGTATCCAGGGTCCATCGTGGCACATGGGAAAGGATTTTGAGCATCAGAGCCCATGTTTGCTGAATGATTAGTTTTTTTAAAGTGCATCTGAGGGAATTGCCCCTTGTTCTGCTGTCCTGCCTGTGGCAGAGGGAATAAGCGTGTTGCTTTGTATTTTGAGGGTGGTGAGTGTAGCTTTTAGTCCAGTGGTGTGATGCCCACAGTCTACTGTGCTGGGCCTCAGCCTCCTCGTGTTTGTGGAGAAACTGGGGGATGGGGCACCTGTTATGACAGTCCCTCATGCTGTGATAGCCTCTGCAGAACCTGGTCACGGAGGACGGTTAGCACCTTATCATCAGGGCATGAGGATGGGAAGTCAGCTTCTGCCTTTCCTTGTTTCACCGTTGTGGATGGTGTGTTGGGAGGTGACCTCCTGCACAGACAAGGGAGTGGCTGTCACTCAGGGACATGTGCTGGGGTCTTCTGTTGATCAGCTCTTCCCCAAGCCTCGCTTCCCCGCAGCCAGCTCTTGGCATTTTCCCCCAGTTGAGTCCTTTGGGCCCAGATGTCCACTTCGTGCTTGTGGAGTGGGGGAGGGGACTGAGAGGAGCTCGCGCCAGCCTTCTGATCATGGTCCTCCCGCACAGGTGAGCGGGTGAGCAACCTGGAGGAGCTGCCTCTCAATGAGTACCGGGACTACATCAAAGTGCAGACGGACAAGGGCACCGAGGTGGCCACCAACCTGGTGATTCCCTGCATTGGCATCAAGATCAACAGCTCTGCCTATCGCAGTGCTTTTGGTAAGGAGGTGGCCCAGTTATGGCCTGCGTGTGCAGGCCACCTCTTCCTCTCCAGTACTCCTTGGAAATGCCCCGAGTCTTCTCCCCCTAAATCGGCACCCGCCTTTTTCTTTCATCACAGCAACTGCTTCTCTCCTAAATGATCACCTTGCACTTTCACTTAAGGGTAGGGTCTCTGTTTTGGGCGCTTTCCACAGCTGTGATAATGGCTTGGCCCAAAGTGGTCTGAGACCAGAAGGATATAAATTTAGGGCTGCTCCCTAGCTTTAAGAGGTAGGAACAGTCTTCAGAGAGATAAGAAAGATTCTATTCTGCTTTTGTAAGTACAAGCGCATCTCTATGTAGATGTGGAGGCAATTCCAGGCTGGAACTTTTTTCTGTTCACAAATGTCCTAGTCGCTCCAAATCGAGATCAAAACATTTGGCTAATTTAGCTGCAAAACCATTTATGGGGTAGGGGCTCAAATATGGCCTCATTTCTTAAAATGCAACATTTATCTTTTTAGCTGCTTGTATATGGAGGCCTGCTGGACTACGCATGTATGTTTAAGCTCTGTGTGTGAGTAGCAGACTGGGTGGCCAGGCTCTGTGGCTGCTTCTTCCCCAGGTATTTTCAAAGATAAGTTTTGTCCAGTCCCTTAAAAAGAAAAGCAGTTGATCGCATATTAAAGACCTGTGCATATTTTAAAATTCCAGTCTATGATGAAGTAGAAATTTAGGGCTTAGCCAATCACTGTCACTGGCTGAGCTCTGTGTTTGTCCTGGGGTAAGCTTGCCTTTGCAGGAAGGCTGTGTATGCAGGAATACAAGGGGACCATGGCCTCTTGAGAGTGCCCAGGACCCAATGTGGCCACTCAGAGGCCTGCTTGAGATGTCATCTTGTCCACAGAGGGCAGACTGGCCAGCAATGGGGCTCTGAGAGTGAACGAGTTCCTCCAGGTGGAGGGCCACAGCAACATCTACGCCATTGGCGACTGTGCTGACCTAAAGGAGCCCAAGATGGCCTATCACGCGGGCCTCCATGCCAATGTCGCTGTGGCCAACATCGTCAATTGCTTGAAGCAGAGGCCCCTTAAGATCTACAAGCCAGGTAAGGAGGCATGGGAATGTCATGGTTTTTAGAGTTTGGGGTTACAAGTGGGAAAATCTTTTTTGGCTACAAGATGACTGATTAACATACCAAATTCTCAAGGCTGATGACAGGAACAGCTCCCTAAAGTTCTTTAAAAATCAATAAAGTGGAGGCCAGGGATATCGCTCAGTACCTGCCTGGCAAGTGCAAGGTCGTGAGTTCAATCCCTGGTAACAAACAAACAAAAAAATCAGTGAAGAAGCCGGGCATGGTGGCACATGCCTGTAATCCCAGCACTCAAAGGCAAGGTAAGGGGATTGCAAGTTTGAGTCCAGCATGGGCAACTTAGTGGGTTAGTGAGATCCTGTATAGAAAAGACATGAATCAGTCAAGGACTCATCTGCCTTCCTAAAAGTCATGCATATTTCCGAATCTCCAGGTTTGGGAAGGGTTTGCACTCTGGGAATCACAGCCCCACCCATGTCTCTAAAGTGGGGTCCACTTTATGTGCGTCTCTTCCTCACAGGTGCGCTGACATTTCTCCTGTCCATGGGTAGAAATGACGGCGTGGGCCAGATCAGTGGCTTCTACGTGGGTCGGCTCATGGTTCGGCTGGCCAAGAGCAGGGACCTGTTCGTCTCCACAAGCTGGAAAACCATGAGACAGTCTCCACCCTGACGGGGAGGCTGGGTGGGAGACCTGGCACCAGCGCATGGGTGACAGATGTTTGACAAGAGGACCATCTGACTTGTACCAAAGGACAGAAGTGCAAAGCCTCTTTCTTTCTCTGGAGAGATGCGTTGGTGATACCCTGTCTGGAAATATAACCTGTGTAAATCCAAAAAGGAGCAGGAGAGTGAGACTATGAGAGCAAAAGGAAGATTTAAAAAACTATGTAAGAGGATCATTTCTGGGTCTGAAAGATCTGTCTGCACCTGTGCTGGCGGAAGGGTCTTGGGAGGAGGGCCTGGGCAGCCTTCTGTACTCCAGCTCCTGTGGGATTTGCATGTGTAGCCTGTGTATGTGTGTTGGGGAGGGGGCTTGGATGTGGTGATCCAAACTCTCAGTAGGGAGAGTGCTGGGTCTGGTGGCAGCCATCCCATCTGTGAGTGCCAAAGGACAACCTGCAGTGTGAGGCCAGCTGAGCAGGGCAGCCAAGGAGAGAGGGTCTGCACTCCACACCTTTCCCATCACATCGGGGTCAGGAAGTCCACATGTCATGCAATGAGCAGCTTGTTAACAGGAGCCTCACTTTAAACTCCCTGGATTATAGTCTCTGTCTCTCTTTTTCCTCTGAGACAGGGTCTCACCATGTTACTCAGCTTGGCCTTGAATTCCAGGGGTCCTCTCGGCTGAACCTCTCAAGTGCCTGGGATTACAGGTGCATGCCACCACATCTAGGCAGTCTCTATACTCTTTAACCTTCACAAACCTTCCTCTATTTCCATTTTTAGACCCTAACTATATACCATAGGTACTTTTAAGACGAAAGTTACTGTATACAGTTTCCCTCCCAGCTAGTCCAATAGCGAGCTTTCCGGAGCTGACAGGGCTGAGGCCATGGCCTGGCCTTCCCTCTTGAGGATGTTTCAGGAAAGGCAGCAGAGATGTGCAGCCTGGTAGGATGCCATCTGGGCAGTCAGCCTCCAGGGAGCAGACGGGTTTCTGCAGGAGATTCGCAGGTATTGCCAGGTTACTGGCATGGGGGATGTTGTAAGTGACAAAATCCAGCTGATGCTGAAGGACTTTGTTTTGTGCTTCTGGTTTCTTGGCTAGCCCCAGATTTACTCTCTATAGGCCCAGCGGTGTGGCAGCCTGTCTGCTGACTGTGGTAAGATGTGTCAGTGACTCCTCCATGTAGAGAGGTCTTCCAGAGTGGAGGTGTCTATTTTGGACACACCTCAATTAAATGTTCACAGCAGAAGGGGTTGCTGAATTCATCTGAGTAAATTCAGGTCTGACTTCCTGACCTGCTCCTTCCTGCTCCTTTTTGATGATGGCCTTTGGGAACTGAAGCAGAGTCCTTCAGACTCCTGCCTCTCGGGTTCTCAGTCTGTCCCTATTTATGCGGTCACCCAGGGTGTGTTCCACTTCGCTGGGTCTCCCAGCTGGTAACCCCGCTGTACCTTGGTCCAAGGCTTTGGTCCTGTGGCATGGCACAGTGGGAATCTCAGCCTGTTCATGACAGGCCTGGTGCTATTGACTTAGAACACTGCAAAAGCTTCCATCCACTGGGCTCTTAGTTTTCTAAACAGGAGTAAATGTTGCAATAAAAGAACACATTATAAGAAAGACACTGGATCTTTTATTTTTTTTCTTTCATTTTCTTTAAAAAACAAAATGAAACCAAACCAAAATAAGCCCAAAGCAAAAACATTTTAGGAGTCGTTACAGATACAGGGGTCAGGGACTCGGGGCAGAAGGGGACACGGAAACAAGAGAAAAGCACCAGTGAGACGTCTTTCCTGTCTTTTCCCCACCATGGAACATAGGCAGCCCACAAACCCAAGTCACCCGCACACTCTCTTCCCTTGGAAAAGGAGGAACAAAAGATTTAAGAATCTTAAAAGGATTTTTTTTGAGTGTGTGTAAAAGTCAATGCTATAAATCTAAAACGAGGTCTGATTTTGTTTTTAAAAAAAGTTCTAAAACACGAAGAAAAGACATGGAAAAAACCCCTGGTGGAGACCTGGTTAAGTGTGGACTGAGGCCCTCAGTAGGGAGAATAGAAAAGGCAGGGGCGCGTGCCGTGGGCAGGACCTGCGCTGGCTGCCTCTGCTGCCCACGTCCCCCTCAGCTGCCCTCTGCTCCCCTGCCGTCACCCTTCTACGCTCCTTTTAAAAAATAAAACCCCACTCTTGTGACGTGTTGTTGCTCCTGCATCCCTGCTGGAGCTCGGCTACTTGGTGTCCAGCTTGGCCATCTCCTGCACGTAGATGCCGATGCTTTCACTGTCGAAGAGCAGGAAGTACACGTTCTTCAGGGACGATGTGTTGGAGTCGTCGAAGTGGGCTGAGATTGCCTTGAGGGTCACCTGGGCAGCCGTCTGTTTGGGAAAGCAGTTTCTGTGCCAAAGCAAAAGGAAAGCCCATGTCATTTTGGTCCCTGAGACCTACTGGGCCCAGAAGGGTCATATCTGTGGCCTCACTGTGTGCAGAGGCTGGTCCAGCATCATCTCTCCAAGGGCCAGCCTGCGGCAAGGACATGGCTTACATGGGATGATTTTAGCAAAGTCAGAGCTGATGGGTGAGGAGTGCTCTGTATTGGAGTCTATCACCTGAATCCAGTAGAACTGGGCTATAAAAGCTCTAACAATTCAGGATTCACTAAACCTGGTCATCAAAAAGCAAACAGAGGGCCAGGCATGGTGGTGTAGGCCTGTAACACTTGTACCAATGAGGCTGAGGCAGGAGGATTGCAAGTTTTACTCCAGCCTGGGCATCTTAGACTCAGAATTAAAACAAAAAGGTTCAGTATGAAGGACCTTGAATCCATAGTACAGCAAAACAAACATCCAAATACAGGTTTTATTAGCTCCTTCAAAATTGCTTTACATGCTAACTAGATTGTTTAATAAGGGCAAAAATGTAGGCTCAAAGGTCACCTTCAAAACTCCTTTTCATGTATCTAGTATTTCCCTCATTAACTTACAGAGACCTGCCAATGTAATCTGAGCCGCAGCTCTGGGCAGGGGCTTGACAGTGCTGACCACCAGCCTCTAGGACACAGCCACAGTAGCCTGCTGAGTTCCCCGGGATGGGGCACAAGCCTGGGCTCTCGCCGATGGAGACTGTTCCACTGTGCTTCTGGGCCTGGACTGTAGACAGCCAGTGCTGCTTGCTGTGTGGAGATGATTCCAGCAGGACTGGCCATTAGCTCTCTCTCAGCCTTCCCAGGGTCAGACCCGTGCTGCGGAGCCAGCCCCTCATAAGCAAGCCTGTAGGCAGCTCGTGACCACTCCGGGTGTGTTCCTCAAGCCTCTACCTCCTGATGCCACTGTCCCACTGTGGACTCTGAAGCAGAAGGTCTTGGAGAGTATGCTGGGAGTCCACACTCTGCCCAAGCCGTGTTGCTGCTGGTCCATTGACCACACTTGGTGGAGCAAGGCCTCAGCATGGAGTTTTCAAATGTAGTCTAGACATGGACAGCTCTGTGTGTATGTGTGTGTGTGTTTTGAACACAGGTTCTCAAACATTACCAGGCCATCTTGCCTCTATTCCTCGGGGCCCTGACACAAAGGAGGCAGCAGAGCTGGCCCCAGCAATGCAGAGCAGCCACCATGGCCCAGGGGACCATCTGTATGGGGTGGAAGGTGGGAAACTGGGGTGCTTGCCCTGTCACCTGGCTATCATGCTTGACAGCCCTTGGTTGGGCACAGCAAAGGTGAGCAGGTTGGAATGGCTGGTGCCCAGGAACAAAGAACCCATTGAGAGGACCCTGTCCTACCTGCCACTGGGGAACGGTGGGAAGGCGACAGACTTCAGCTTCTTGTCTTCAGCTGCCGACAGGCAGTTTTTGATGGTCTCTTCAAGCTGTTCTTCACATTTGTCAGAGCCCCACTGGGGGATGTGACAGTGGATGACAAATTTAGCAGCGAGTCCACTGGATTGGCTGACAGCAGCTGGACATGGGTGGGAGACAGACTGCAAGTCATTTCCCAGGTCTTACCTTAAACCCAAGAAGGATGGAGGGGTGGTGTCTAGAGCTGTGTGGGTTGGATTGAAAGACTTATTTGACACAGGCTCAGGCCTGTAATCCCAGCACTCTGGAAGGCTGAGATGAGGGATCATATGATTGGGCCCAACCTGGGCAACTTCGTGTCTTTAGTGTAGAGACCCTGCCTCAAAAATAGAGGGAAGGGGTCAGGAATGTAGCTCAGTGTGAAGGCCCTGGGTTCATTCCCTACAAACTAAAAAAGCAATGTTCACCTAGTCTACAGGAAATGTTTCCTAGTGACATCATGGTGTCAGGCGATTGTACTTGTTTGGAGGATAAAGTTTGGAAATTGGAGATTAAGTTCAGGGGACTCTCAAGCCACGCAGGTTAGGCTGTAAACCCCTTGTCTTCTCAGTGCTCAGAAGGTGCTGAATCTAATCAAACTTCAGTGAGCCTGTTCACATGATACCATCGAGGGTGGGGGTAAGACACAGCCATGTAGGTGGACTCTATTGTCCACAAGCAGTCAAAGTCCAGTTCATGTTTGGCTTGAACAAGGATACCTGGTAGCCTGGGGTCTGTTGTGCAGACAACCAGGGTTTGGACCACTGATTAAGTAATTTTGCCAAGGTATATACCATTGTTACCCCCTGATTGACGTGCTTTAAAATTTTGTTGCAATTTTTTTCTTCTTCTTTTTTTACTTCTTTTTTTTTATCTACGAATAAAATAGATTAAAAAAAAAAAGTAATTTTGCCAAAGGCCCTGAATAATACTATTGTGTGCTGGAGAGTCCGGCTCTTCACACTACTGGCTGATTTATAAGGAGAGATCGAAAATTACAGTGAATGTTTAAATTTTAAAAATTTGTTACAGTAAAAGTCACATTGCCATTAATCCCTCTCAGAACATTCCCTCTCACTTCGTACACACTTACCCCATCCTTGTGGTCACTTTCTGGAACAGTTCTGGAAGTCCTCTTTGTGCTGTTGTGACTGCCTCAATGTTCTGAAGCGATTCAAAAACAATGACCTTATGTGGTCACCTTGACTTTGGGGAAGAGCAGAGTTGCCCGGTGCCAGATCCCATCAATTAGGTGCATGACAACCCGTCTTGCTGTGTGCTTGCTGTCTAGCGCTCAGTGGCAGTGTTCACTGTCATTTTGATCACACCTTGTAAAGAGGACTTCCAGAGCTGCTTCAGAAAGTAGCAAGAGCCGG